GGAACCCTTATGCACTGTTGGCGGGAATATAAATTTGTGCGGCCACTCTGGAAAAGAGTACGGAGGCTCCTCAAAAAGTTAAAAATAGAACTACCACGTGATGTAGCAATTCTACTTCTGGGTATCTATTCAAAGAAGACCAAGACATTAATTTGGATAGCTATATGTGCCTTTATGTTCGTTGTAGCATTATTTACAATAGCCAAGATATGGAAACAACTAAGCGTCCACTGATGGATGAGTGGATAAAGATGTGGTACAATGCACAATGGGATTCTACTGGAATACAACGGAATACTAAGCCATAAAACAGAGTGATATCTTGCCATTTGTGACAACCTGGATAGATCTCGACGGCATTGTGTGCTAAACCAACTTGGTCAAAGACAAAAACTGTACGGCCTCACTTCTATGTGGACTCTCAACAAACAAAAAACCAAGCTCATAGATACAGAGAACAGATTGGTGGTTGACAGGTTGACAGGGGTGTGGTCTGGGGTAGGTGAAATGGCTGAAGGGGATCAAAAGGAAAAACAAAAAACTACCAGTTATAGTTAACAGGGATGCAATATGCATGGGGACTATAGCTAAAACTACTTTGTGGCATATTTGAAAGTTGCTGAGAGAGTAAATCTTAAAAGTTTTCACTAGAAGAACAAAAACTTGTAACTATGTACCATGAAGGATATTAACTAGACTTATTGTGGGGATCATATTGCAATGTATACAAATACCAAATCATTACATCATACACCTGAAACTAGTATAATGTTATATGTCAATTATACCTCAGTGAAAATATTTTTCTTCATAAACATGTTAAACATAGAATTATCATTTGATTTAGAAATTGTACTGCTAGTTATATATCCAAAGACTTGAAAACAGGGATTCAAACGGGAACTTACGTACTGATGTTTATGCATTAGTATTCATAATAGCCGAAGGAAACAACTCAAGGGTCCATCAATAATGGGATTAAGGGGCACCTGGGTGGCTTGGTTGGCTAAACATCAGACTTCGGCTCGGGTCATGATCTCACGGTTCCTGAGTCTGAGCCCCACGTCGGGCTCTGTGCTGACAGCTCAGAGCCTGGAGCCTGCTTCGGATTCTGTGTCTCCCTCTCTGCCCCCGCCCCCCACCCCTACCCCACTCAAGCTCTGTCTCTCTCTCAAGAATACATAAACATTAAACAAAATTTTAAAAAGTAATGGGATTCAAAATGTGGTCTATACCTATAATGGAATACCATTCAGCCTTAAAAAGGAACAAAATTCTCATACGGGCTACAACATGGATTATACTTGCAAACATACTAAGTGAAAGAAGCCAACAGAAAGGACAAAGACCCTATGAGTGATCATGGAGTAGTTAGCTTAATAGAGACAGAAAAATGGTGGTTGCCAGGGCTGGGAGGAAGGCAGTATGGGTGTTTAATGAATATAGAGTTTTTGTTTGCAGACCTGGCAAAGTTCTGGAAACGGGTAGTGGCGGTGGTGGCACAAAGTGAATGTTCTTAGCGCCACCGAACTGTCAACTTAAAAATGGTTAAAATGGTAAATTTCCCTGTGGCTCTCTTATCTCTCTCTCTCTCTCTCTCTCACACACACACACACACACACACACACACACACAAATACAAATGCCTGGAGTCCAGGCCCACAAATGGTGATTCAGCTGGGATTGAACAAGCTCTTCAGGTGAATCTGATGCTTAACTAGGTTTGAGCCCCACTACTCTAGCTCTCTCTCATTGTTGCCAGGAGAGAGCAGGGCAGAGGTCTCTCTGAATCCTTCCAGTGCTCTAGGGTACATGTGAGTCCTCTGGGGAGTCTGTTAAACTACAGATTCTGATCCAGTGGGTCTGGAGTGAGGCCTAAGAATGTGCATTTCTAGCAAGGTCCTGGGCGATGCTGACGCTGCATGTCTGTGGCCTGCTTTGACTACCAGTGTTCTAGAGACAGACAGTGGCCTCATCTGTGGTGGACAGAGTGGAGGTCTGGAAAGGAGCAAGGAGGTGCGTGGGATGATTACTCCAGACAGTTTCGTGGTAACTAACTGGGGGTTTGGCTGACTTTGGAACTCGCTTCCGGGGACAGTTCAGACAGGTGGGTCTGCAGTTTACCTAAAGGACATACCGAGGCCAGAGATGATCAGCACACAACACTGTGGATTCTGCACAAGTCTGTCTGAATTTCTGCCCCTTGTGTTTGAGAGTTAAGGATCCAGAGCTAGGCTGACCACAAGTGAAACTGGCTCATTCACCTTTGATGCTCTGTTACCTCTCCAAATCCGTCTCATCCTGCCTGGCCCACCGCGGCCCCCAGAGCTGAGTCCGTCCCTCCCTCCCTCCCTATCACCACCTCGTGACAGAATGAGATACATCAGGCTCCCCGTTCCATCCAGCCCCGGCATATTGGCTCACCTCTCGGAGTCAGTCACTCATGGCTCCACACTGACCGCCTTCCGGACAGTCAGTCCAGCTGGTCTCCCTCGTCCTGGCAGACGCCCCGCCTGCAACGTCCTGGGGACAGAACTGCAGCTCAGCCTCTGAGCGAACACAACCCCGGGCAGTGTGACTCTACGGTTAAGGAATCAGACACCCTGGGGCTCGGATCTAAGTGCAGCTTTTCCTGCCCCTCTGACCTTGGATGAGTTACTTAAGTCCCCACACCACAGCTTCTCACCAGTCAGACGGAGACTGTGACACCTGCCTCCCAAAACTGCATTGAGGTCACATGGGCCGACATGAGAAAAGCCTTCTGCCCAATACCTGGCACATGGTGGAGAACTTGGTAATGTACGGTCACGACAGGGTTTCCCTCTGCAACCTTAAGCAGGTGCCTCTATTCTACTCTAGATTTGTTCATTCCCTCATGCTGGTCCGGGTTGGGTCCGATTCGTGTTTCCCCAGTGTCCAGCGCAGGTGGGGGCAGGGCGCAGAATGGGGGCTCTCAGCCCCCATCTAGAACTCCCAGGCTGGATCATTGTGCTTGCAGTTCGGGAGGTGACCTGCAGATGGCGCACGCAGCCATGGGAGGCGTCCTGCCTGGCTACTGAAGGAGTGAAGCTGGGCTATCAGCCGGGTGTCTGGAATGCAGGCCCTTCGCATTATTCTCATTATTGCTGTTGGCTGGTTCTCTTGGTTGGGTCCTCGGCGTGGGGGCTGAAATGGAGTTTCCCCTGGGCCTAGGAGTCACCAAGGAGAACAAGGCCTCTGCCCCCGCCCCTGTCATGGTGCCTACCCCCTTACCTTGTACCGGGGACACTCACAGGGACAGCTCCTCTGTTTCCCACACTCCCTGGGTGCTCCACGGAGTGTTTGAGGAAGGAGTTGCTTTTTGGAAAGTGCTTCCATTAAAGGTCATGCATCCCAGGCAGGGTCTTGCTGTGGCCCAGACGGGCAGGGACAGCTCACCGGCATCCTGCACAAAGCCCTCCGTTCTTCTCCAGCCCTCTGGGCCCCTTCCCAGTCCCTCCTCTCAGCTTCCGGGGGTACGGCAGGTCTCAGAGACTCACCTTCCTTCCAGATTCCCGGTCCAGAGCTCAGCCTTCACTTGGGGGCACTGAACCCCCTATATGCTTCTTAGGTGCACTGTCTTTTCACCCAGGGGTTCCTGGCCGTGCTGGAGGGAGGAGGGAAATGGCCATCTGCCGACTTTCCCTCTCCTCGGCCTACTCAAACCTGAACGTCCTTGGAGGCCCCGCCCCCACATCCTTTCATCAGAAACGGACCCTCTGGCACATCTGCCTGTGCCCCCATTCCCTTCCACCTGGCAACCTGATGCCAACTCCTCCAAAACCAGGCAAGGTCCCCGGCATGCCTGCTGGCCCATCCTCTTTGGTGGAGCTCCATTTCCCTCCTCCATGAGCCCCTTTCACCTCTCCAAACTCTGATGGCCTCACTCCTTCTTGGCCTCACTTTGCCTTAACAGCCTAGAACTTCCGGCTCTGTCCCAACCCCCAGGATACACAGAATCTCTTCCTCCCCCTCCCAGTTTATAGGCACCTCTTATATGACTTAAGTGGGCACTTGTGGTTTGCCTAGCTTTATTTCCCTGGGCACGGTCATGTCCTCCTGGAGGAGAGAAGCCAGCACTTACCCTCCCCACCCTGCATTCCAAGCTCCCCAAGCTCTCAGCAAGGTTGCCTCATTTTATAGATAAGGAAACTGGCCCAGAGGGGTTTAGGAGCGTGCTCAAAGCCACACAGCTGGCCCCCTTTAGGGGCCGGCCCAGATCTGAGAACAGAACAGGTGCTCAAGAATGCACCCAGGCTAATTAAAAGCCTTTTAAAAAGTTTAACCTGCTGAGCTAAAACCCGCGCTTCTCACAGTCTCCCCATGAGAGATAGCCAGCTAGGCATAGGGGCCTTTCCTTCCGCCCCCCCCTCCCCACTGGCCCTTGCCAGATGGGAAAGAAGCTACCACGTAGAAACATAACCTTTATTGCACACGGCGCTGGGTTTTTTTTCATAGAAAAAGGTATTAACACATAAGCATCTGCAAATTGAAGCAAGTCCTGGTTTTCTTGGAACAGTAAAATCGCATGCAGTGTCTCTGAGTTGGGAGTTTGGTCTTTGTCAAAACCGCCTAGATTGAAAGGAGGGTTGAGTGAGTAGGAGGGAAAAATTGCTGAGTCTTTGTGCCTCTGTCTCAAAATAAGGGGAGAGAAATATATAGATACATAGCTTGTCGACATGTTCCCATCTCCCTATATATGTATATAGATCTCTCCACGCATATTTTGTGGGGTTGGAGGGGTTGATTTGTACTGTTAAATTCTTTGTGCCCTGGCTTCATGGAGAAGAAGAAAATAGTTTCATTTGTACAAAAGAGTTCTATGTACAAGCGTTGATGACTCGGGGGGGTTTTCTTTTCGTTGTCGGTTGGTTTCTGTCTGTCAGTTTAATATAAATAATGCAGGAAAACAGCCAAGTTGGTGTGTGAGGGCTGGAGGTGCAGACAGGTCCGAGCGTGGGGCCGCTTTTCTCACCGTGCCCCTACACCAGGGTATAGGATTTCGAGTAGGCCCCTGCCCCCTGCTTCTGGGATCTCCCTACCCCCGATGTGCTCATCTCGAGAAGTGAGTCCCTGGAGCCCCCCATTTTGGTGTGTGGGCCCCCGGCCCGCGGAGGCTCGGTGCTGGGGGCCGGAGGGGCGGCACTGGGTGCCGCGGGGGGCTCGGCAGGGGTGGGGCCGGGAGCTGGGGGGGCCGCGCCGGCTGGGGGTGCTGGCATGGCCAGGGTCCTCTGAGGTAAAGTGGCTGTGGAGGCGGCAGCAGGGGCCCCTGGGTGCGGGAGGCCCAAGGGCTTGCTGGCAGGGTCCAAGGTCAGGTGGCGAGCCTGGGTGTGGTAGGTTCGAGCCAGGTTCCGGATGGAAGCCTCTCGGGGTGGGACCACCGGACAGGGCTCGCGCCCATCTGCCTTTCGAAAGAAGGCCTCCGACTTGGCATACAGGGGCAGGTTACAGTAGTCACCTGGAATCACAGAGCCAGAAAAGGTTGGAGGCAGAGGCCTCTGGGAGCCAGCTTGCTCGTGCCACCCCCTACTCCCCAATCTTTCCCCCCATCTGACCTGGGAGTCCCTCCACAAGCCCGGCAATCGTCAGTTACTTGACCTCTCTGAGCCTTGGTATCCTTATCGGTGAGATGTGGACAATCGCACTTCCCTATAGGATTACCGTCAGTAGTGAATGAGATCAAATATGGAAAGTGCTTCAGTTACCATGGCTAGCACATATAGTAGTTGCTCAATAAATTGATACTTGTTGCTAAATGGCCGATATACGCTGCTCAGCTTCAGCTGGGGGAGAACTCATTTCTGAAAACGACGACTCCCCACGCTGAGCCTGATTCTGCCTTCTGCCACATATTCTGCCACATAGCAAGCGCCCCCACACCTCCACCTTTCCCACGGCTGTCGTCCAGAGGTCTGAAGTCAGCTACGTTTCCTCACCCTTCTCCTTTCTCACAGGTGGGATCTTCCTGATTTCTCAAACCACCCCCGTATGACACGCTTCCGGGACCCCTGCGCCCTGATCCCTCGGCTCAATAAGCATCCTCACCTGTAAATGTGCCTCTGTCCTGTGCCTGTGCCAGGAACTTTCCTTACATGATCTCATTTAGTCCCTGTAGCCCCCTGGATATAGGTTAATACCTGCCCACATTTTGCAAACGAGGAAACTGAGGTTCAGAGAGGTTAAGTAATTTGCCCCGTTTCTCCCAGCTAGAAGGGGTAGGGGTGTCATTCAGGGCTGCGAATCTCCAAAGCCTTTGTACTTCGTTACCCTGGGCTCTTCTCTAGATGGTCCCGAGGGCCCCGATCAGTATGGCCACTGAGCAAGGCCAGGAGCGAGCAGACCAGACTGTGCATGATTTGCACGGTATAGTGTGGTCCAGTGCCCGTTGATGGACCCCCCTCCGGTTATCCTACGGCTGTCCCACCAACCCCAACGGGCGTATGCTCTGGCCAGGCCCCTGGGTCAGACAGTTCCCAGTCAGGCTAGGTCACTGCCCACCGTGAGGTTTGGTCACCATGGGCTGAGCTGCCAGGATTGTTCCTTCGCGTCTGGATTGATTTGAAAGGCACTGAGACCCACGGCCGTTGGGCAGCTGTGTCCCCACACTGGCACAGCCTCGGGGTAAGGGGAGGATCACTACGTCCTGAGAACCTGCCCTGCGTCGGGCACGTCCAGAACTTCCGGTGTCTGCTACGACAACGCAGAGTATATGCTGTCACTTGCATTTTACAAACGAGAAAAGGAAGGCCAGAGAGGCTAAGTGACTTCCCAAGGCCACGGAGGTATTAAGCGGCTGAGCCAGGATATGGACCCTGACCTGGACTCTCCCGAGTCCTTGCTTTGCGCTGCCCACGCCGCCAAGGAGCCCTGCCCAGGCGGGCCGGCCCCACGTGGTGGCAGGGCAGGGGACACAGCAGGGGAGGGGGGCCGAGCACTCACTCTTGTTGGCCCGGTGCGGGATGGGCACAGCCACGTTCTTGCCTCTGTCGGCATCCTGGGGCTTGGGCGGGGAGGCGGTAAAGCGGCAAATGCCGGGCTCTGAGGGTGTGCTCATGGACGTCATGCTGTCCGCGTTCTCGTTGGTGCCTGTGGTCATCTGGTCGGAGGAGCTGTCGGAGATGAAGCACTCGGTGATCTCGAACTTGGCGTGCTGAAGCTGTTCTTCCAGCTTGGCGTGCTCATAGGCCCGAGCCAGCTCTTCGTACGTGGACGAGGCACTCTCGGTGGACACCATGCTGTTCCGCCCTTTGTCTGGGGAGATGGAAAGCGTGGAGGTAAGAAGAAATGGGGGGCGGGTCATGGGGAGAAGGGTCTCATTTACCAATGAGACCAGAGCTCACTTTGAATTCTGTGTCTCCCTCTCTCTGCCCCTCCCCTGCTCGCGCTCTCTCTCTCTCAAAAATAAACATTAAAAAATAAAAACAAAAACGAGACCAGACTGAGCAGTGCCCCTACCCTTGACCCCAGTGGTCATCTCTGAGGACCCTGATCGCCCCCTGGGAAGGTAGCAGTGGTGGCCGAAGTGGGGTCTTTGGTGAATAAAGGGCAGAATGTCTTCCATTCTTGAAAATAAGCACCCACCCCCTGGAACACTCCGTTCTTTCTCCAACAAACATCACACATACCATTTTCTCTGACATCTTCTGGGATAGCAAAGTGAAATCCTTGACTAAGCAGAGCTCAGCGAGGTCAAGTGTTTTTGCGCCAGCCACACAGTAAGTCAGTGGCCAGCTGGCAATGAAGCGGACTTGTGTCTTGGCCCCCATGAGCTGGTGGGTAGAGGCTGGGAAAACGGAAGGGGGAGCTGGAAGGTAGGGGAAGTGAAGAACAGAGAGCAAGACGCGGGCAGGGCCCTGGGCTCACCTGTGTCCTGGGAGAGGCTGGCACTGTAGCTGTCACTCTCAGTGACAGTGACACCATGCTGGGATCCCACGGTGCGCCAGTCAGAGGTGAGGGTGCGGGCAGGTGTGGAGGCCTGGCACTTGGTCAGCGTCCACTGGCTTGAGTACCGGTTCCGGGTGCTGTGGGCTGACTTGACGTTCTTCCTAGACACTGGATCTGCAAACAGGAAGCGATGGCTAGCACGTCCGCTGAGGGCACTGAGGCCTGGGCAGCTGGCACTTACCAGAAGGGCAGTGCAGAGCCAGGGAAGAGGCATAAGCAGCCACAGAAGCTCCCGTGGGGAGGCTGAGCATGTTGCCTTTCCCAACCACATAGCTGGCCCCGGAGGAACAGAGCTACGGTGGTGAGGTGTGGGGGCAGTGGGTGGCATCCTGGTCCTCCCCACCCACCCCATCTTTTCCTTCCACGGGGGGAAGAATGTCGTCTCCTCTCCTGCTGCCTCCTGTGCACTCATTCCCCATAGCCCTTGATGTGTTCTATCCTGATGTCCAGAGCTGCAGCGCTAGAGGCAGAAGGCCTTTGGAGAGCAAGAACACCCAACCCTCAAATGTCTAGGTAAGGCAACGGAGGCCCAGAGAGACAAAGTTAGCAATATACCCAAGGTCACAGCTAAGTAAGTCTTCAGTCAAGGTCTGTAGACTCTAACTCCAGTGTTCTTTGCATTCTTCCATGCTGTTCCTCTCCCACCTTTTTTTTTTTATTGCCTGTGCCCCATGCTGTTCCCAAGACACCCTGTGTGGGAAGAGGTCTGTCTCCCTGGGGATAAGGCATACTGGTGCCTGGCCGGATGTCAGACATGTCGATGAGGGGTCCTGTGCTCTGGATGAGGGCTGGGTGGTGCAAGGAGACACCAGTGCAGAAACTCTGCGGGTTGACAGCTTGGCTGAACTCAGCATCCGTCACAGGAATGGTGGCTTTGTCATCTCCTGGGGGAAGAAGGACAATGAGTAGGAGTCCTTCTCTTTGGACGTTGCAAATGTCTTTTTGTCTTTATCCCACGTTGAGACCCAGAAAGGACAGAATAATTCTTTCGGCTAGAGGAGGAAACTTAGCCCTTGAGAGAAGCTTCAGTGAGTTCTGAGGTTGCTGAGTTGTTGGTGGGGCTGCTGCTAGAGCTCTGGGCACTGCTGGGAGGGCTGGTGGCTGCCCTTTGTGGGTTGTGGCCTGGGGGAGAGCGGGACAGAGAGCCTGTGGCTCTTGTCACTCACCCAGCTGCTTGATGCCCTCCTTGTCCTCGATGAGCAGCTGGACCCTGGGGATGTCAATGTGTAGCCGCGGGCCTTGGGGAGGCCCCTTCACAGGGGTGTCAAAACTTCGGTTGTTCTTGCTGTGGAGAGAAGGGCCAGCGGTGGGTGACTCAGCAGCCATGAGGGGCTGGAGGAGAGGGTTTAGCAGGACAGTGGGGTCTTAGAAGCCTATCCTCTGCAGGGGAGGAAGCAGCCATGTGACACCTACCTTATCAACATTTCTGCCAAACTCTTTGCATCTGCAAAAGAGTAGAGAGAGGGGCTCGGTGAGAATAGAGTCTGAGCAGGATGAAAACTGGCAGAGGCATGGGGGAAAAGGTGGGGGAGTTCCCTAAAATGGGACCAGAGCTGGTCTCCTGGGAAGAAGAGGGAGAAGTGAAAGGGCTTCCAAAATGGTCTAAAACACAATAAGGTCTGACTGCTCCTGGTGTGAGGTTTGGCTCAGGTCTGTTTTCCTTTCCTCAGAGTTTTATCTAATATGGAGGTCCTTCCCAAAGGAGAGGGTATGTAAACTGCTCCATCTGTTTCTTGAATCGACTCTAATTAAACAAGACAACATAGCAGGCTGGGAATGGGTACCAGTGGAGGGTCCATCCTCAGTTGTCTGCTGAGAAGAGAAGAGAGTGAAGTTGAGGTGGTCAGTGGGCATCCCTAAATGACTATCAACCAAGAGACTTCATTTCTTCCTCTTGGGCACCTGTCCCCAAGAAGTCCATGGATGAATTGACAAAAAAAAAAAAAAAAAAAAAAAAAAAAAAAAAAGAGTGAGAGAAGCAAAGGGCCTACTTAATCCATTAAACCTCTGAGGAGAATGAGAATCATGAAACTAATCTGTCAGAATGAATCTAGCTCCATGTATATATCCAACCATCTACTCACCCATCCATCCATCCATCCATCCATCCATCCATCCATCCATCCATTCACCATTGATCCATTTACCTATCAGTCTATTTATTTCTCCACCCACCCATCCAGTCATTCATCCATCATCTACCCATTCAACAATCCACTTGTTCAACCATCCATCCATCCATCTATCCATCCAATTATCCATTCATCTACTCAACCATTCATTCAATCACCTATCCATACATCCATAAAATCATACAATCATCTGTCCATCTTATCATCCATCTATCTATCCATCCATCTATCCATCCTCCAGCCATCCAAACATCCATTCAACTATCTACCCATCTACCTAATCATTCATCTATTATCCATCCATTCAAATATACATCCATCCATCCACCTACCCATGGATCCACACATTAATCCATTCAACCATTAATCTATCCATCTATCTAATCGTTCATCCATCCACTCCTCCATCTATCTACACAGCCACCTATCCATTAAACCACCTATACATTGAGCCTTTCATTTAACTACCTATCCAGCCATCCTTCCATCTATATATCTTTCCATCCAACCATCCAATTAATCATCCAACCATTCATCCAATCATCCAATCATCCATCCGTCCATCCATCCATCCATCCATCCATCCATCCATCCACCCATCCATCCAATCGACTCCTAAACATGCAAGGCAGTGTTAGTAATTCCTCTTTTGTACTACTGTTGTGCCCTGGCTTCTCACGTTAGACTGTAAACTCTATGAGGACTAGACTCATAGGAGTCCTCTATGAAGACTATGGACTCTTCCTTCTTCATTTGTCTTTATATCTCCAATGTATGGAAGTATCTACAATACAGCAGATATTCAATAAATGTTTTCCAAATGAATAAATGACCATCTGTTAAGCAACTACTAGGTGCCAGACACTGTACTAGGCCCTGGGGAAATCAAGGTAAATCAGACCCATTCATGCCAGTATCATGTATTAGGATAGGGGTGATATTCAAACTATTTAACATCAGACACATTCTGGAAGCAACACAGTCAGAACTGAGCAAGGTCCTCAGAGACCACCTGCAGGTCTATGCTTTAGTGGCCAGCTTCTAGAAGAATTGCAGGGATCCTGTGTGAGAGAAGGAAGATCCAGGGTGGAAGGGAACAACATAGAAATGTTTATTCTTTATTTTTTTTTAACATTTATTCATTTTTGAGAGACAGAGAGAGAGGGAGAGAGATAGAGCACAAGCAGGGGAGGGGCAGAGAGAGAGGGAGACACAGAACCGGAAGCAGGCTCCAGGCTCTGAGATGTCAGCACAGAGCCTGACAAGAGGCTCGAACTCATGAATCACGAGATCATGACCTGAGCTGAAGTCAGATGCTTAACCGACTGAGCCACCCAGGTGCCCCTAACATGGAAATGTTTAAATATTTAAACCAATATGGCTTTGCCAGTGTGCACCTCTAAAATTCAGCCCTGGTTAGGTCAGGCACAAAGTCTTGGGGGCACAGAGGAGGAAGCAGTGAGAACTAAAGTTTCAGAAGATTGGAGTAGCAGCTCTCCCTTAAATGAGACACAGGTACACTCTCTTGCCCAGATGGTGCCATGAGCCAATGAAAGGTGGCCAGCGTGGCTGAGGGCCAACACTCCTTCCTGGGAAGCCCGTAGGAAACTTGCCTACCTCGGAGCCGCTTCAGCCGCTTCTCCTTCCTCTTCTTGCGAACGATGAAGAGCAGCGCCACCCCCAGAGTGGCCAGGATGACCGGGCAGCCAATGGTGAACAGCTTCTTCACATCATCCCCCTCACCTTGAGCAGACTTGATGGGAGGGATGGTACCTGAATGGGGTGAAGAAGGGAGTCAGATGTCCCTTATGAGTAGGATCTATACAGAGTCCTCCGGGTGGGGTAGCCCTCGAACCTCTCTTGCTGCCCTTGGTCTCATTCTGACCCCCACTTCCTGGCACAGAGCCCCAGCCTTCCCCTTTTGCCCTCCCCACCACCCCCCAAATTCTGGTCAGATCAGGACATCCATGAACAATCATGTCGTTTCTATGCTGCATTATGAAATTGATGACTTCGTGAGGCTGTTTTAGAGTTATCCTGAAGTCTTTCAGAGATAGTCTCCTTCCTGTTGGAGTTCAATGTTCATTTCTAGAGGGGGGACAGATGAGCTTAGATGCCCCCCATCCAGCTCGTAAAATGGGGGAGGGATAGCAGGAATCAGAGAGAGCACTGTCAGAGCAGCGGGATCCCAGGGTCTCTTCCCCAGACGGGAACAAAGCCATTCAATGCTGCATTGTCTCCTTGATCCCCCCCTCCCATGGGCAGTATCTGCTAACTTTGGGTGCCTGCACAGAGGCAGTAAGTTCTGCTGACATAGCCCTCTGCAAAGCCCCTCTTTGGCCTGTTTCAAAGCCTTGAATAAGAGCCATCTCCTTCATGAAGCTTCCATGTTTGAGCCCATCCCTTCTGCTACTGCTTTTCTTCGATTTCCTTAACGCACGGGTCGACTTCATTTACCTTGTGACAATGGATCTCTATGAATTCAGCCTTCTATGTACCTTTAATGTATGCATGCACGTGTGTGTGCGCGCGCATGTGCATGTGTGTGCATGTGTGTGTGTGAGCGTACGCGTGTGTAGGAAGTGCCCCACGTGGCAGACACCAAACACCCACGTGCTCATCTACACCTCCCAGACTTCCTGGCAGTTAGAGGAGAATCAGGTGACTAGTTCCGGACAACAGAGTGTGAACAGAAGTGACGTGCGTCACCTCCTGGCCAAGGCAGTTAAGAACTGGGGTGCCTCTTTTACCCTTCTCTTCTTGGTGACCTTGGAGGCTACCCATTCAAGATGGCAGAGCTAGAAGATGGTGGCCAGCCAACCCTCTCAAGGCGTTATGAGAGCAAGCAGCAGATCTTTACTGGGCTAAGCCCTGGAGCTCTTAGTGTTTATCTGTTACTGCAGCACAGCCCATCCCATCCTGGCTAATGCACCATGTTAGCAGAGGGTCCTCCGAGGGCAGGGCCTCAACTACACCTCTACATTCCTCTCCATCTCTCTGAAGCAACAGAGAGCAAGGACTGCACCTTCCAAGACTGTCTGTCTTAGTGTGACCCGTTTGCCTGTCTGCAGGTCTGTATGGTCACGGGCGCACCTGCCCACCGGCCTGCCTGCCTGCCTACCGGTCTGCTGCTCCCTTCCCTGTCTCCAGCTTTTTCCTCCCTGTCTGTTTTTTGATTTGTCTGTCCTGTGTTATGCGTCTGCCTCTCTGCCAGCTTCCCTGGGGACACCTCCCCGCGGTCCGGGTGCTGCCCCCCCACCCTCTCCGACTCACTCCCGTCGTAGTCCAGGGTGGCGAACTGGGCAGTCTCGTTGCCGCAGCCGGCGCTGTTGCAGGCCCGCATGCGCAGCTCGTACCACGTAGCCTCGCGCAGCTCGGTCAGAAACACCTCCCCGGAGCTGTTGGCCCGCAGCCCCTGCCAGGCCCAGGTGCCCTTGGGCCGGTACTCCAGGACGATGGCTGTGATAGGGCAGCCCCCGTTGTTCCAGCCCTGCAGGTTAAGCCGAGCATGCGTGGAGTTGATGTGGGTGAACAGGTGCTGGTCTTTGCTGAAGGAGGGCTCTGGGGGGCGGGGGGGCACAGGGAGAGAGCGTGGTTAGAGACCGAGAGAGAGGAGGAGGGTTCGTTCATCCGCGGGGGGAGGAGTACCCTGGGCCAGGGGGGCTGCAGTGGCTCTGGGAACAGCGTTTGGCACAGATGGGACTAGGGATGCCCCAGGGGACAGAGGAGGAGGGAGATGAGGGAAGGACCTGGAGAGAAGGCCTCGGCAGAGGAGGAAGGGAGGTGGGGAGAAGGAGGAGGCTGTCACCATCGGCTACCCCGCCAGGGAGGTGGGGCCTGTTTCTCCTACTGTGATTGGTCATGGTGCTATCCATAGGCCGGAACGCGGCTAAGCCCCTCCCCTCAGTCTCCGCTTCCCAGCGCCCTCCTTGCCTACCCCAGCCGTCTTCCATCCCCATGGCCTGGGCCCATCTCTCCCCATCTGGGTGATCGCTAAGCCTCACCCCGCCCGTGGGTCTTTGCCTCGATGATCTCGCTGATGCGCCCGGAGCCCACGCTGTTCTTGGCTGCCAGCTTCACCTTGTACCACGTGCCACACTTGAGGCTGTCCAGCTTGAAGGACCGCTCCCCTGAGCTGATGAACACATCCTTCCACTCTTCGCTGTTGTCCACCGAGTACTGCAGCACGAAGCCTGCCCGGGAGGTTTGCCTGGCTCAGGGCGGGCGTGGCGGGGCCTGGGACACCCCAACAGGCGTCGTGGGGCTGGGCTCCGGCAGGGGCAGAGTGGGGCCTTTGGTGATGGGGGGAGGGCCCATGCAGGTTGGACCCAAAGCTACAAGGAGTTTTCCCGCTCTCTCTTTAGCAGCTAAGGTGGGGAAGGGAGCAGAATCCAGAGCCTTGAGGCTTAAAAGGGACCCTATTTAGACCCTGCTACTCCAGGGATGGTCCCCCTGACAGCGGTATTAGATCACCTGGGGGCTTTTCAGATCCCATCCCAGACCTCTTGAATCAGAATCTGCATTCTTTAAGATCCTCCTGGTGATTCATGTGCTTATTCAAGGCCGAGAAGCACTCTCTGTCTACTGTTACAGATTTGGGAACTGAGGCCCAGAGAAGAAAACGGATCTCTCCAGGTTCACACAGCTCACCAGCAGCATTTGGGGCGGGCCGTCTAAACGTGGGATACCTAGGCTGGTGACTTTCTGTGGCACTTGGGTAACTTCCTACTGGTCCGAATTGCCCATCCCCCTGGCCGTTGATCACTTCTGGGGCATTATGGGGACCAAGTGGTGGGAGTGGGTGAAGCCCTTCCCCTGCTCCTGGGCCCAGAGTTTCTTCCCCTTCCCCCTCCTCCTCATCCAGACCCCTCTCACCTCGGATGGAGCTGCCCCCATTGTCACCTGGAATCCAGGTCAGGGTGATGGATGAAGCGGAGGTTTTAGAGACAGTGAGGCGGGGCTGGTCCGGGGGAACTGTGAGGGAAAGCCACCAGCCCTCACCACAAAGAATTAACATCCGATGACGGCGGTGTGGGGTCTCCCAGTTGCAAGTGAGGGCCAAGGCCTGGCTTTCCCACCCTCTTGGAGCCTCCCTGGCTCCCGCTCCTTCTGTCCATCCCTCCTGCCTTCTCTTCCATGTGGCACCTCTGTCCCACTGAGGGTCTGTCGCCCAGGTCGTTGGGGAGGTTGCCGGGCGGCCGGCCTTCCAGGGTCTTACCTTGCACCAGAAGGTTGACGATGATGGTGTCGAAGCCTCCAGTGTTGGTGGCCGTGCAGGTGTAGTAGCCTGAGTCCTCAGCCTTCACAGCACGCAGCAGCAGTGTGCCGTTGGTATGGATGAGCCGGTGCCCGTCCATGGACACAGGGATGGCCGAGTCTTCACTGCAGGGGTGGGAGGGCAGAGATGGGTTATGGTAAGCACCCCCTCTTCCCGGGGCCTCCCCCAGGACTGGAGGCACCCAGGGCCGGGAGCAGAAGGAGGCTGGCTAGGCGGCCCAGGGCCCTTGGCTCTGCTCAGCACTTCCTGGGGATATCCCGTAACCCTGCCCTCTTCAGGCACCCAGGGAGGGGAGATCCTTAGCCGTCAACGGTGGGGAGCCAGGGAGCCCAGGCCTCCTGGGAGAGCAGTAGCCGTGCACCCGGCAGGGCCTCTGGTCAGCTGGAAGGTAAAGGCACCCGATTCTTTTCTTTATGGCTCATCTACCACCCATCACTTGGGTCACTCAGCCCTCCAGGGTCCCGCACATACCTGTCCTTGGTCCACTTCACGGCAGGGGCTGGATCTCCCACTGAATTGCAGGGCAGCCGGACGTCTTTCATCCAGGGTGTTGTCACGGTGCCTCCGAATGAGATGATCTTCGCTGGGGCTACGGGGAGGAGAATGTGAGGGCACCCCACTCCTACCCACAATGCTGTACTGGGCGGCCTTTCTTGGGGCTTCCCAAATTTACGCATCAAGCCCCCCGTCTCCTACCTGACCTCTGCTTTGAGCTTGGAGCAGGGGTGGGTGCAGGCAATCTCAGATGGGAGTCATTGGTTCAACAAACATTTATCAAATAAATACTTGCTATGGGCCAGGTCTCCCATGAGGCTCTGAAGACTCACACAGTGAAGAAGATCTATTTTCTGTCCTCGAGTTGCACATCGTCCAGGACAGACACTTAAAAAGGATCATTATGGGGGCAGGGGCACGCCTGGGCGGCTCAGTTGGTAAAGCATCTGACTCTTGCTCTCTCAGCTCAGGTCTTTATCTCAGGGTCATGGGTTCCACGCTGGGCGTGGAGCCCAACTTAAAAACATTTTTTTCCCCACGGGTCGAGAATACTATGGTAGGGATAGGTACAAGTAACCGTGGGAACCCACAGGAGGAATGGACTCCGCCAGCTTGGTGGTGGTGGAGGTGACAGCCAGGGAAGCTTCTGGAATTGGAAGCTTTACCTTGAATCTTGAAGGCTAAAAAGGAAGGCCCTGTGCAGGGAAGGAGAGTCATGGTGGGAAGAGGCAGCAGCACCGAGTAGAGGCCTGGAGGCCTGGGACCCGTGGGAAGTGTGAGGGTCTGCAAATACTCTGACGTGACCAAAGCCCAGGGTGGGTGAAGGGGGACGGGTGGTGAGCAGGAGCAGAAGCATGGGCGGCGGGGGCGGGGGGGCTCTGTCAGCAGAACAAGGAGGCTGGACTTCCTCTTGGGGTCATGAGCTGATAAGTAAGTAGTGACGTGTTCAAAGTAGAGTTGCAGATAAAGCCCCGGTGCCGGCAGAGGATGGCTTGGCAGAGGACGTGGCTCAGTGGCAAGATGATGGCCAGAGAGCAAGATGGTGGCTGGAGCTGATGTAAGTGGGGCAAGAGGTTAGGGGCTCCAGGAAGCACCGGCAGGACTCGGGGAAGGACTTGCCTTTGAGGAAGCGATAGAGGGGGAGGGGACGATGACTGCCCGATTCCGGCTGGGTGCTGGTGCCCTCACAGAGACCAGGCACACGGAAGGAGGAGGAGGAGGAGGAACGGGGACACTTCGCTCCCACTGAACCTGGGGTCACCCGCGTGGAGTAACTGGAAAGCACCCAGATACACAAGTGTCCCACAGACACCGATGTGGGAGTCAGCGGCCCAGGGACTGAGTCACCGGGAGCAGGAATGTAGACTGATACAGGGGTGGCAGTAACATACAGCCACAGAGGAGAAAGGAACGTCCCCCGGGGTTGACAGGAGCATGCTCGGAGCACCAGGATGCACAAGCAGCCTCACGGAAAGCAAGAAAGGCAAAGACGTCAAGGGCACCCGGAGAGGGTAGTCGCGTCAGGTCCCTCTCAGACCACCGGGCCGTGTCACAGGTGTTAAGTTAACCAGGCCACCAAACGCTGTAGAGCTCCAGACCTGGTGCTGCCACGTGGCTGGGGTTGGTTCCCAGGGCCCCAGGGCTAGAGACTCAGGTGGCTGAGGGAGGAGGCCAGCCCAAGAGGAAGGTGGCCTTCCCACGGAGGCCCAGAACCAAGGCAGAGGACTGAAGTTGTGGGCTGGCAGCGGGTCGATCCCATGGCCTGTGGTCTGCACAGAGGGCACATCAGCTGCTGTGCGGCTGCCTCTTTGCTCCCGGGCTGGGGCCTCACACCTGTCATTCCCTGTAACGCGGGGGTGCATATGCCCTCATGCCATACTTCTGCCCAGGCCAGGGATTCGATGGGGGTGTTCCCTAAGAACAAACTCCGCGTGCGGCATCTAGCCCAGGGCCTCCTAGGTCTGCACTCTCTAAGTGTCTGTGCATCGAGTGAATCAGCCATCAGAGGCATTACCTCTACCGGAGACGTCTAGGCTTTCAAACTACAAAGCTCCCTTTATGGCTCTCGGCCCCGTGGAAGCCGCATACCCTGCCACCGCCCCCTCTGGAGGAGCCGAGCCTTGGGACAAAGGCTCTGCCACGAGCTGGGAGCGAGACTGATGTCCCTTCTTTCGGCCCTGGAGTCAAGTTTGGAGGAGGGACCGGGGCCCTCCATGCCACCCGGCCCTGAGTAGCTGCACGGCCTGGAGCGTGCTGTAAGGCTTTCTGGGAGTCAGGGGGCAGCAGAGGCCCAGTGTTGGCGGATGCGGGATGGAGGCGGGTGGCCCGCCAGCTCCTCTCGGCCAGGTGGCAGAGAGGGTGGAGAGAGACACCCCCTCTCTTGGGAGAGCCCGAATTCTAGAAGGGGGCTTCTGGCTGCTTCTTCCCCTCCGGCCTGTGCCGCTTACCCTTGCCCGCAGGCTCAATGGTGACCTTCTCGCTGCTGTTGCCCCGGCCGGCAGAGGTGACGGCGGCCACCCACAGCAGGTACTGTTGCCCACGGTTTAGGTGGGCGATCCGGTAGAAGAGCTGCTCTGGACTCGTCTCATACTCGCTCGGAGCCTGCGGGACAGGGGCAGAGAAGTGTAAAACCCAGCCTCCTGGGCTTCCAGCCTCCAACCCCCAACCTCAACCTTCCTCGGAGGACCTGGGCTCAGAGTAGGGGGGTGGGCCAGTCAGGGGGGTGGGGAGAGGAGGCAGGATCCTGCCTCGTTCGCCCTTTGTGGTTTGGGAGCAACAGTGAGCAGAATCTGCACCGGGCTTGGCCCTGGGGGCTCGTGGGCCTGCTCTGGCGTGGTGCTGGGCCAGCCTCAGTTTACTTCTTTGGCCGACCCAGACCCTGGCAAGTGTGGCTGCAGGTCAGGGGATGTGAGTGTTTCGGGTGAGTGATGGAGGGAGTCCGGAGAAGGGAGAATGGAGGAGGGAGGGTCCCAGGAAGACCCCGGGGAAAGGGAGTCTCTGGGAAGAAACTAAATTACCGCATTTGCCTTATTAGGGCTGTAGACGGGCGCCCCCAGCCCGAGCCCGCTCCGCACCACCTCCCCGCCCCGCCGTCTAATTACCACTCCTTTATTCTGCGGGAGCAAACCGTCTGGGGGAAGAAGGGGTGGGAGACGGAACTCGGAAAGCTTCACGGGACAACACTTTATTAATGATTATTAGTGGTATAGATCACCGTATATATTTGTAGCTTGTATAAATCTATAAATTTTTTTTTTTAACCAAATGACAGTTTTGACAAGTTGCCAACAAAACAATATCGGATCCCAGTGGTTTTACCAGTTGCTTTGATGAAAAGATTATGTTGCCTTGGAAACCAGAGGCTCAGATATTGAAATGAATTTGAGAAGGAGCTTTTGATAAGCGCTAGTTTGCAGACCTCCTGTCAGCCCCTTCCCTGGTCCAGGCGGGATGGGGCTGACTTTCATTTTATTTTTTGGTCAGCCGCGGGGAAGGGAAAAGAGGGCGGCACTGGGGCCTCTTTGAAATCAGGGCAGAAGTCTAGGGAGGGGGGAGCAGCCCCCGGAACAGATGGGGGGCCCTGAGGCCAGAGGGAGCTAATAATTAGTTATCTCTGCAGTCACGGGATCGTGCACACACATGCTCACATGCACGCTCACACGCACATGGACACGTGGACGCATTCATCCACATGCTGAGGGACAGACCTGCAGATAGAGATGGGGTCACAGAGGGACATTCTCTGTGCCCCACGGGAGGACTGAGGGGCCCGATGACTTATGGCAGGAGAAACCATCCTTTTTTGGCCCCAGGCCATCTGCAGGGAGATGTTAGGAAGGAGGCACAGGCGTCTCCTCAATACACATAGAGCTGCCTGGCAAAGTCTCCCTCTTGCCTCCCTAATGGAGATTTGGCCTTGAACCCAGGGGGGTCCCTGCTGCAGACAGGTGCAAAGCCACCTTCAGCCCTGGTAGTTGGGAAGTCTTTGCAGGCTATGGCACCCAGGGGACCGTGCGGGTACCTGTAGTTCCTGTCTGTGTACGAAGTGGGTGGTGTAGTGGCTCCAACACCCGCCTGCCCTTCTTACCAAGTGTGAGTCTCACAGCTCATGCACCTTTCTCTCTCAAGGCTCCTGGGGCCTCGGTTTCCTGTTCTGTGAACTAAGAAAGCGATACTGCTCTGCCTACCCCGTGTGGTTACAGAGAGGCACAAATAGGCAAGGGCTGGGCGAGTCCTTTGTAAACTGGGACGCGTTCTTCTCCCGGCTCACTCTTCCGTGAGGATTGAGGTGTGCATGTGCACGTGTGGAGAAAAGTCGAATGTGCGTGCTTGTGTGTCAGTGTGTACGTGAGCGTATGTTTGTGTCTACACAGGAAAGGTTTGGCTTTCCTTTGAAGGTGTTAGCATCGTATCCAGATCCCGGGGTCTTCCTTTGAACCTGGGCTCCCCAAGAATCTCCTGAAATCGCTTTTAAAAACACATCACTGGGGGCGCCTGGGTGGCTCAGTCGGTTAAGCATCTGACTTCGGCTCAGGTCATGATCTCGTGGTTCGTGAGTTCAAGCCCCACGTCGGGCTCTGTGCTGACAGCTCAGAGCCTGGAGCCTGTTTCTGATTCTGTGTCTCCCTCTCTCTCTCTGACCCTCCCCCGTTCATGCTCTGTCTCTCTCTGTCTCAAAAATAAACGTTTAAAAAAAAATGAAAAATAAAAACACATCACTGTACTCCCAAATAAAGTCCCAGTGGATCAAAAGTTAAAAAGAAAAAGGTAAAACTATGAACATATTTGTCTTTCTAATCATAAAAATAAAGGCAAAAATCACAAAGGACAGTGATTCATAAATTTGAATTCTATAAAAACAAAACCTACGGCACACCAAAAACAGTGTCAAAAGGCAAGCAATGAGCTGGCAAATCATTGCAGCCAATACGATTTTTAAAAAGGTTATTGTCCTTCTACGTAAAGAGCACTCACAAATCAATGAGAAAAAACCATGAACCACCCAAATAAAAAATGGATAAAGGACATGAATTGACAATTTTACCCAAAGATGAAAAAAAAACAAAACAGTCAATGAACATGTAACAATAATCAACCTAAGTAGTAATGAAAGGAATATACCTAAAACAGGACCCCTTTTTTCCAATCCAACTGGCAAAAATGAAACATAATATAATATTTTGGATTAGCATGGGGGTAAGAAACAAGTATGGACTTATTTTGCTGGTGGAAGCATCAAATGGTTCCAACTTTCTGAGGGGTAATTCACAAACACGTATGCACATTTTAAGAATATCCATATTCTTGATGACTCAGGAATTACCATAGAAATTTACCTAAGCAAATGATAAAACACGTGCATAAAGACTTATCTGAAGAATGTTCAATGACATGTTATGTACGATGTTGAACATTTGAAAATAGATGAAAGAATAATGAGGGCACCAGTTAAATAGATTATATACATATGGGCATTCAAGGTCATGTTTGAAAAGAGTATGTGATGGTGTGGGAAAGTGCCTAGATATATTACACAGATTATATAACATTATGTAACAATCCATTTTAATTTTTTATTAAAAAACCCCCCCATAATATACGTACAGATCAAAGGCTGGAAGGCCATCTACCAAAACACCGCCAGCGTTTATCTTCAGAGAATGAGTACACGTAGTTTCTACTCTCCTGTCTATTCTTTTATGTATTTACAGAATTTTGTACAATAAAATTGCATCATTTTGATAATCAGAGAAAAACAACAAGTGTATGAACATGTTTGGTACAATTTCTAACGGGACTCACTGCAGTTCTGGCTGCCCCCAAGGGCATAACTTGCGGGAGCCCACACCAGATGCGGTTCCCGTCTATTCTCAGGGTTCCACACGTGCGTGTTCTTACACCCTAGCACGTGTGCATACATTAGACTCACGTGCATTGCCTCTAACCTCACACTCACACCCGTGGTTTTGCCCTGTCGCGTGTACACGCCTGTGTCCTCACCCCCAGCGCTCACTCCTAGGTCTCTTTCATAAGCGAATTTGTAGTGCAGTTGTTTGGAATTTGGAGTATATTTGTGCAGAGCGGTAACATCACACATCACACATCACACACCACACATCACACATCACACAGTGTGGTGGTCAGGTGTCTGGGTCCCTCGCTGAGGTGGTTCCTCCTCCATAAGGTGGCTGAACTGAATGAAGTTCTCATCGCACAGGACCCCTGGCCCCTGTGTGCCACTGTCAGATCGGAACCGTCCCAGGAGAGAGGGGCTTCCTACGTGCTTGTGCTCAGGACATGAAGAGAAGCGGGGAGGGTCCCAGGGTCTCCAGCAGGGCACGGGCCCCAGGAGCTCCGTTCTGGGGGCTCGTGAAGCCTGAGTTAATGAGGAGGCAGCACTCCTTTGAAAGGCTTCATTGTCGGAGGAGGAAATGACCGCACAAAGCCAAGCTGGAGAATGACTACCCTCTCCCATCAATTCATGAAGGGAAACTTGCCCAATGTCTAAGGCTTTACAATTGCCAGGCTCCTCGTAATTCATTCATCAAACATGCATTTAGTGACAATGATGTTCCAGGCACAGTGTTTGGCAGCTGGGGGACCCAGAGATGAAAAGATGCTGCCCTTGTCCTCACAGGGCCCCACGGACCAGCACAGGAGACAGAAGTGAGCAGCTAATTGCCATCAAATGCATTCAGCGTATGACAGAGGATAAAGACCATGCCACGGCAGGGGTCAGCAATGGCAGAGGCGTGGGCTGGGAAAAAGCACAGCGGGCATCCAGAATGGTGATAAGCTTAGGATGTGTGTGGGGGGTGGGGGAACAGGGGGAGAAGGGAAGGAGGGGCAGACAGCACGGCTAAAACATCGATTGGAAAGTTGGCACAGACACCCAACAATGGCAGCGCATTCTCAACGTCCAGACCCCAGGGCCCCGCATTTCCTCTCCTGGGTACACACCCGACAGGCACACGTACACACGTGTATGGGTGTGCACAGCAGTGCCGCAAGGAACAGCTCCAAACTGGAACCTACCCAAATGCCTATCAATGGGTAGTGAAATGGATAAAACAATTCTATATACGCACCCAGCGGAAACCTATACAGAAGTGAAAGTGAATGATCTATAACCACACCCAACAGCGTGGAGGAAATTCACAAGTTCAAAATAATGTTGAGTAAAAGAAGCCGGATTAATGGTATGAACTTCACTTACATAATGGACATAAACAGGCAACACTGATCTGAAGTCAGCATGGTCGTCACCCTGGCAGGGGAAGGGTGGTGACCGGGAGGGGCACAAGGAGGTCCTCTGGGGTGTCCTGATGTCGTGTTCCCTGCTCTGGGTGCTGCTTGCCCAATGTGCTAGGAAATGTCATGGAGCCGTACGCCCACGATATGTGCACTTTTCTGCATATGGGCTGGTGGCCGTGAGGATGGAGGGGAGGACGCAGAGTCACTAAAAAGCCCACATTTCTGGGCTTCTCCTCTGGCAAAAGAACTCTGGCCTCACTGGTACGGAGCTGGGCCACCTACTGCTCAGAGGGTAACTCAGAAAGACCACAGGAGAGCAGAGCGGAGCTAGAGATGCTTCCTGGCTGCCGGGAGCTCATCCGCAGATGCTCGGGCTGCTGTCCCATCACAAGCTGCTGGCGGAGGGGGAAGCTGGCCACCTCCTGTTCCTTGCTGCCTGCCTGAGATGTCCTGAGCATCTCCCAGCTACTACTCCCGCACACCCCTGGTGCGCCCCGCCCCCTCCCCACTAGACTGGACACCCCTCGAGGGCAGGTGCACCTGCTCATGTAACTAGAACGGCTGTGCTCCAGAGTAGCCACCCAGCAGAACTCAGTGCTGGAGAGGCTGGAGATCGGGAAAGGCAGAGGGAAGGATGCATACTATGGATATGCTATGGATATGCATAGCATATGGATTTGCATATCCATAGTACTGCACTGTACTCCCAGCTTTGGGCAGATATTGAAGTCTGAGTCCTCTCCCCAGCAGTGAAGCCCAGCCCTGGCCCAGAGAGAGATGCCCTTGCCTTCCTTCTGCTGTCTGCCATTTTCCTCCTCCCTCCAGTGGGCTCCAGGCTGACGAGGCCGCTCAGGGCAGAGCTCCAGCAGCCCTCGGAGCCCAGACCGTTCACGCTGGAGCGTGATTCATTTCCAGAGGCCATGGACCAGGCAGGCCCCAGTCACCAGCTCTGGGGCCTGATAGAACCTTCCTTGGTCAGCCAGACCAGAAGACCAGAGGAGCCCAGGCCTTGGTCTCCCTTTCACATCTGCTTGGTGGTGACCGCCTGACTCAAAAGAAGCCTCCAGGGGTTGTGACCACCTTGCAGCCCCTGGATCGGAGGACTGACCCAAGATGGGCACCAGGTAAGGCTTCAGCTGCTCTTGGGTGACCAGTGCCCATTCTTATCCATGAATTTAGGTAGAAGCATGGACATAAGCAGCCCCCGGGTTTGACCCGGAAGGCAGCTGGTCTTCAGGGTACTTTTCCCTTTCTCCTGTCCCTGTCATCATTGGGCACTGGGCCCACTTACCGGCTGGCCGGACCCAGGGCTGGAGCAGAAGATGGTGTACTTGCGGATCACCCCATTGGGCTTGGCTGGGGGGAGCCAAGAGACAACCACACTGCTGGCGGACGAAGGGACAGCTTTGATGCCTGCAGGGGGACCTGGAACTAAGTAGGGAGAAGGCCAGGTCAGTTTGGAGAAGGGAGGAGGTCAACCTTTGGGAAAGAATAACATGGTGGGGAGAGTGAGGCAGATCAATCTGGGAGAGCTTCCTGGAGGAGGCATCCTTGAGCCATGGTTTAAAGGGGGGAGGTTCCAGCATGGCAAACAGGTAAGGAGAAAGGTGATCATTTGGGGCTTGTAACAAAGTTTCCAAGATGAAGGCATTGGGAAGGGCCAGCTTCAAAACTGTTTGGCCAGAACCAAGGACTTAGGACACTCAAGAGAGAAACAGAACCCATGGGGATTTCACATTGATCCCTAGGCACTTAACCTGCTTCCTCTCCCAACATTCAACTACTAGCTTGTATACAGACCAAACATATATACTGGTCACTTTGCTCTTTGGCCTGTGAGCTCCTTGAGGCTGGGGGCTCCATGGACTCACAGAGTGGACTGTGTCCTGAGGGTCAGGGGCTGGCGTCAGCCAACGGGTGACAGGGTTTCCTGCCATGTGCCCAGGGCACTGCCCCTGGGATGCTGCTTAGGCCCTTTCTGTTTTTAGGAGGGCAAGTCTACTTGAGAATTGGCCAGGATATTCATCCTAAGGGCATACCAATTCATATGTATTCTGCCCTCCCACTGTCCCCCATCTCTGGTCCTGCCTGGCCCAGCTGGGTCCCAGGGTTCTGCTTGGGCGACTGGAAGCTTCCTGTTTTCAGCTCCCCTTCATCTGTCCCTTGAATTGCTGTGCACTTGTCTTCCCTCCTGGGAGCTTTATATGCTCCTTTGAGGACGGTGATGGCATCCTACTCAACTCATTTTGCCTCCCTGAGTCTCAGTTTCCCCATATAGATGACGGACATAATAACAACCGCATTAAAGGTTTGTGGAGACAGTTAGTACTAATTAAAATAAAGCACCTGGCACAGTGCCTGCCACATAGAAGACAATAAACGGTGACAATACTCAGTTTTGCTCTAGCATCTACTGTGATTTTTAAAAAAATCTAGTAAGTGGTCAACAGTTCTAGGCCAAATAAAATGACGATCCATCATGGCCATCCATCCAGGGGCCTGAGCCCTCCCTCACAGCTACGGCCCTGATATCCTGCTTCTGCTAGTGTCTCTGCATGCTGTGGAGTGCAGGGGGCCACGGGTGCCACTGGGGCTGGCCAGCGTGCTAACTCAGGTTCAGATCTTTTTCGCCCTTGCTCACTTCTTTTCTCAGCAGTAATCGAGAGGGGTATGTTGATATCTCCCCCACGACTGTGTATTTGTCAATTTTTGTAGTCCTGTCGGTCTTTGCTTTTATATATTTTGAGATTATGTTATTAGGTTCACAACAAATTCGAAACTGTTTTATTTGACTAGTAAATTGGGTCTTTTATCCTAACAGAGTGTCTTTCTGTATCTCTAATGATGCCTTTAATCCTTTCACATTGAACCTTTCTCTACCTTTACGTCTTAGGTGTCTCCTATGAACAGCACATAGTTGGGTTTGTTTCATTGCTGGATGAGTCTGACAGTCTTTATCCTTTAATTGAATAATTTAGTTGATTTATCGTTAATGCAATCACTTATATGTTTGGGTTTAAATACCTCAGCTTACTAAATACTTTTATTTCCTTTCCTGCTTTTTTCTTTTTTTTGAATCGAGCCTTTTAAAAAATACTTTATTCGGGGCGCCTGGGTGGCGCAGTCGGTTGGGCGTCCGACTTCAGCCAGGTCACGATCTCACGGTCTGTGAGTTCGAGCCCCGCGTCGGGCTCTGGGCTGATGGCTCAGAGCCTGGAGCCTGTTTCCGATTCTGTGTCTCCCTCTCTCTCTGCCCCTCCCCCGTTCATGCTCTGTCTCTCTCTGTCCCAAAAATAAATAAACGTTGAAAAAAAAAAAAATTAAAAAAAAAATACTTTATTCCCCCTCTTTATTAGATTGGTTATTAGACAGCCTTTTAGGGGTTACTCAACGTGAGCCTTTACCAAAGCCTAACAACATTAATTGGCACCTTTTTTTCTCTCAGACAATGCAAGAGACTTCAAACTTCTTACCCAATTTCTATGCCTTTGTTGTATATTTTAGCCACACACACACACACACACACAGATATTACACCCTCCCCAAGATGATATCACTATCATCATCATTTTACACAGTCAGTATAAATGGAGATTTACTCACACATTCACCATTTACTCGTTCTTTGCTTCTTGCATCATGGAACTCATAGCTGGGATCATTTTCCTTCTAGCTAAGGAATAATACCCTTTACTATTTCTCTAGAGCAGGTATGTCGAGAAAATACATTTTCTCAGTTTTTGTCTGCAAACGTCTTTATTTCATTTTAACCTTGGAGAGTATTTTGGCTCGGCATAAAATCATAGGTTGACAACTATTTTCCTTACACACTTTATACCACTGCATTGTTTTCTGGCTTCCTCGGCTTCCACTGTTTCTTGTCTTGTTTTTATTATTCCATTGTTTCTGATAAAGCAGCGGTTAATCTAATTGCTGGTCCTGTGAAGGTAACTGGTCTTCTTCGCTTCGGTTGCTTTTAGGAATTTTCCCTTTGCGTTTCCTGTTTAGCGGCTTTATTGCGATGAGCCTAGGTGCGGACTTCCTTAAGTTATTGCTTGTGGAGTCTGCAGAGTGCTTTGCTTTTTGCTTTGGGGATGGATGTCTTTCATCAATTCTGAAAAGTTTTCAGGCATTTTATCTTCTGCCCCGTTCCCTTTCTCCTCTTCTTCGGGACTTTCTTCTCACATCCTCTGTGCCCTGGATATTCAGAATGCGGTCCAGTTGTCAGCAGAAGCGTCACCTGGGAGCATGTCAGAAATGCAAAATCTCAGGTTCCACCCTAGACCCTACCGAATCAGAATATGAATTTTAATATGACCCCCAAGTGACTGGTATGCACAGTCAAGTTTGAAAATCACTGCTCTATCTCTGACTGGTCCCTTTATTTTCCATTCGTGTGTCTTTCTGAGCTGCTTTTGGGTCTTCTGATCTGCCTTCCAGTCTGCTCGTTCTCTCTCCAGCTGTGTCTCATTTGTTATTAAATCTATCTACCGAGTCCTTAATTTCAGGTTAATAGTCGCTCTGGTTTCTAGATTTTCCATTCAATAGTCCCCAGTTCTCTTAAAATTTCAATCTTGTTAAGAATAACTCTTTGAAAGTTCATATTTGACAAAACCTGTGTTTGGACTCCTTGTGGGTCTGTTTCTTTTATCTGCTTCTTTTTTTTCCTGCTTTTGTTCACGCTGTTCCTCATAGTTTTTTACTGGGTGCCAGACACATCATTTGCAAAATTGTTTGTAGAAATAGTTTGAGGCCTCAAATGATGTAATCTTCCTAAAGGGAGAATCTGTGTTTGCTTCTGACAGGGACCTGCCATCTGGGGTTACCTTACTCTAACTTCCAGGACTGAGATGATTTGAAGCTGGGCTGTGTACTTCTGGTGCACCTTTAATCCTACAGTGCTGCCCTCATGGTCTCAACTCAAAGTGAGGGGGACCCGCCTGCCCCAGCAGGCCCTTGACTCCAATCCACGGCTTTCTAGTGCTGCTCTGATTCTCGGCCACTGCGTCCAGATTCGGCAAATGTCCCCCACGGGGAGAGCGGTTCCAAATGCCAGGGTCACCTCCTGGGCTTCCACTCTCCCTTGGATCCTGGCCCAGTAATTCTGCACTCTCCTGCCAGCTCTCTGATGCCTTCAAGCAGGTGTTTTAGAAAATATTTTATCCGGATTTCCTAGTGTTCTCAGCAAGAAGGAGAGTGGGTTTGAGTCACGTAGTCCACCGTTACTGGAAGTGCAAATCCTCTGACACGTCTCTCTGAGCTTGTCTCCACCTCTCCCTCCACCTTCCCCTCCTGCCTCCCTAGCACACACCTTCTGCTTCTCTGCCTAGATGCCCACAGGTTCTAACAGGCTTCTCTGAGGCCAGTCCTCATCCCTGCCCCCACCCCCAGCCCCTTCCTGCCATCTGTCGTCCACGCTTCCGTGAGGGTTACCTTCCTGCAACACAGGTCCAGCCAAGCCTCCTCTTTGGCTAAATATCTTTAAAATGGTTTAAAATCCAGCTCAGGCTTCACTCTGATTTGGTATCCCCAGGGGAGTTGGGGTGTCAGCAAGAGGCTTTGTTGCTCATGAACAGCAAAGTCCAGTCAAGTCAGCCCGAGACCAAGTTATAGACTGGGGGATTCGGACGTAAGAAATGAGCTTGGGGGCGCCTGGGTGGCTCAGTCGGTTAAGCGTCCGACTTCAGCTCGGGTCACGATCTCACGGTCCGTGGGTTCGAGCCCCGCGTCGGGCTCTGTGCTGACAGCTCAGAGCCTGGAGCCTGCTTCGGATTCTGTGCCTCCCTCTCTCTCTGCCCCTCCCCTGTTCATGCTCTGTCTCTCTCTGTCTCAAAAATTAAAAAAAAAAAAAAAAAAAAAAAAAAAAAAGAAATGAGCTTGAATTTATTTGACTTTGTTTTCATTTTATCTTTTAATTTATTTTTGGTTTTCTCTACCTTTCCTGCTCATTTTTTCCTTGGAAACATGCAAAATCCTGAGCTGGCGGTGGGGTGGGGAGGGGAGCAGGCAGGGGGAGGTAGGTAGGGAGTCACAGTGTCTTTGGCTATTCGTCCAAGCTCCCATGGCAGAGCTGGAGCCAGAATGCGGGCCTGTCTGCTTCCCAAGTCAGCCGGAAAGAGCTGTAATAACTGCCATTGACACCATGGGAGAACCTGGAGGAGGTGGGGCCGGGCTGGTGTAGTGCCCGCTTGTCTGCCCGCCCGTCGGCTGTCGTTCTTTCCTGATCTTTGGGGACCCATGCCCCTCTGTCCCTCAGAGAAAGCCGTCCCCATCACCTCCACCAGGGGATTCACCATACTTGGGGGAAGTCAGCCGCGATCATTCCATTCCCCTTTCAGTGACTGGCTTTGCAAGATGCACGTTGCCCCAGGGTGGCCAATGGGACATGAGGATAAATCTGTTGAGGAGGGGTTTTTGGGCCGGTTTTTATTCACTCCCCGAGAGAGGCAGGCCCATAGGAGGAGGCCACTTCTCCGACTCTGAACTCGGTCTTGTCTGCTGTGATGCCGGGAGCCGCGGGAGGAACAGGTGACGTGCCGAGGACGGGGGCCCACGGAGTGAACCAACCCTGTGGAGCTGCCTCCTCAAGACCTCTTGTTACATGTGATAATAAATCCACTTATTGCTGAAACCGTTTTTTTTTTTCTTTAACTTGTATTACTCACAGCCCAAAGCTTCCTGTCTCCGACAGAATAGATGATATGGAGGCAAGAAGGTCTTCATTTGCCTCCGAGGAGCTGAGTGACATTCAGCAAGTTGCTTTAGTTCCCTATGCCTCACTTTTCTCACCTCTAAAATGGACATAAGATGTACCTCACAGGGCTACTGGCAAGGCTCAGCCACGCTTATGACCACATGTGGTACACATATCAAGTGTGGCCGCTGTTCTGTCGAGACCTCATCTGACAGTGGATTCCTTCTGGCCCAGGGCCTCCCTCTAAGGGGCACTGAGCCTCTCTGGGGCGCCTGGGTCCTCCCAAAGCAGTCACTTCACTGCCAGCGCCTTGGTAGCCATTAGGCACCTGCTCTTTGCTAGCACCGCACGTTTTAGAAAGGATTTTGCAGTTAACGTGCTTCTTGGGACAACCCAATGAGGCATCACTGTCCCCATTTTATCACGAGGAAACTGAGGTTCAGAAAGGTTAAGTGACTTGCCAATAACTGGCAGGGCTGGGACCCTTCTTCTGCCGTGCTCACGGGAGCCCCTCCGCTCTGCGGAGCCTCACGGTAGGGCCCCATTCCCTGCTCGCGATCATCCCTGTGAGCCTCTGCAGGCAGCTCTAAATCGAAAGGTTGAAAGCTCCTCGGAACTTTGGGTTCCCCTGTGGGGAATCCCTTACCTTTGTGAAACATGTGGAGGTGCTTATGGCTCAGACCTTGCGTCAGAATAGGCCGCAAGAAGTCTGGGGGCCCCAGTGGTTCCTCTCTGGAGGCTGGGAAGGTGCCCGTGTGTGTGGTGCAGAGGCTCTGGAAGGGGCCGGGCTCTGAGCACAGTCCCCGTTTGGTCTCCACATAAGAGCAGGTGGCTCTGCCTGGAGCCATCCCAGGAAACCTTGATGGGGGGATTAATGGCAGGAAAAGTAGGGCAGGCAGGTTGGTAAATATTTAATTGCTCAGAGCTTACGGCGTGGAGGGGGCCGATCTGAGAGAAGGGCAGGGCTTAGGGAGAGTGGGGAGCTGGATTAAAATGCTCTGTTCCCCAAGTGCTGGGCTGCCCTGGGAAGCTCTCTACCATCAGTCCCAGCCTGAGACCCTCCTCTCAACAACTCTAACCCTCCAGCACCTTCTGCCAAGTGGCACAGGAGGGGCCCAGACTGTGGGAACTTTGAGAAAATGGAGGCAGTGAGGGTAGGAAGCCATGACGGCAATGTTGGCTAGTTTAAGTACCCATTGGTGCCAGCCCCTCTCCACACAAACTCTTTTAAAATATAGCACCTGCCTCAGAAGGTTTAAGAATCAGCTAAGTGATGGGGCGCCCGGGTGGCTCAGTCGGTTGAGCGTCCGACTTCGGCTCAGGTCGTGATCTCACAGGTTGTGAGGTCGAGCCCCGCGTCCGGCCCTGTGCTGACAGCTCAGAGCCTGGAGCCTGCTTCGGATTCTGTGCCTCCCTCTCTCTGCCTATCCCCCACTGGCACTCTCTCAAAAATAAGTAAACATTAAAAAAAAAAAATGACGTGTTGGGATGACGTGAGGAAGGAAGCAGAGGCTGGCAGCAGGAGCCCAGAGCTGCGCGTGGGCACACACAGCACCTGCTGGACACGCTCCATATGAAGGAGGCCCCCTGGCAGTGTGGCCCTTCTCCCACCCTGTTCTCTGCTGGGTTCTCCACTCCCCCACCTCCTCACTTTGTCATTCTGCCCTTGAGCTTTGGCTCCTGATTTTCCTCCATTTCTGCCCCAGGGTGGAGGGCCTGGAGATCACAGCTCCAAACGGAGTCACCTCCCATTCTCGCCCTGAGAGCCTCCCCAGCATGCCAGAGTCCAGGGCCTGGACCGCTCTGGGGCCTCTGCCACGCCCCTAACCTGAGATGTGTGCAGTGACGATCCTCTCTCCCTCCTCCCCCAACCCCAACCATCCGTCTCCAGAAGAAACCAGGCAGAATCTTGCCACAGAAAGGATGCCCTTGGGGAGGGGGTGGGGAGAGAGGCTTTCCGGGGCCTCCGACCTGGGGCTGCAAGGGGAGTTAAGGGAGTGGGGAGTCCCAGAGCATCTCACTGCCACCTGCGGTAAGCTGTGTTCTCCTAAAGCGGGGCCCCAGCATGCTCAAAGCCACCCTGCAAGGACTTACGGGGACAGGAGACAGGACAGTGCCCTGCTCTCACCCTTCCCCTTGGGCAGTGCTCAGCGACGGGTCCGGGGTGGGCGGGGAGGGAGCCTGGCCGGTGGGCGAGGCCAGGCTGGGCGCAGTGGAGGGGACTCACCATCCTCCTTGGTCTGGATATAGAGCACGCTGCTGCGCACGCCGTCCCCGGCTTGGGTGTAGGCCAGCACCTGCACGCTGTAGTTGGTGAACTTCTCCATGCCCCGCAGCTCCACCCGCTCCCGCGTCGTCGTGATGTTCTGCATCTCGCCCCACTCTGCCCGAGACAAGCAGCGTCGGAACGCGGCCAGGCCGGCCGGGCCTGGGGCCCCTGCCGCAGCCCCTCGGCCAGCCTGGGCTCCGGTCGGGCCAGCTCCACTGGGCTCAGACCTCGACTCCACAGTAGTGGCGACCGGGGGGACCGCCACCTTCAGGCGCCGGGGGGCAGGTCTGGGGCTCTGCTCCCAGGCCGCGTGTCTTCGCAAGTGGCCCAACTGGGGTGAGCGGCATATGCCCGGCCTCAGCCCCAGCTGACCTCATACCAAATTGAGCTTAATGCTCTCCCTTTCCATCTGAGCACCTTTCCCCTCCTCCCCTTCCCCTCTCCACGTGAGGGATCCCAAGGATCTCCTGGAAGGGAGCCTAGGCCAGGTGGGATGGTCACAGCCATTCCTCTTTGCTGTCCCAGGGCCTCCTTCGGCTCTCAGGTCAGTAGGCAGTGTGTTACCCTGGGACGACGGGGCACAGGCTGAGGCTGCCTCCTCTGTGTCTGACTGCTCCTGGGCCAGCACCCTGAACGCTCAGTGGTGTCTGTGAGCAGCTAAGCCCCTTCCTTTCTCCCCACCGCTGGGGACACCCTCCCCAGGAAGCACCCACACGGAGAACCCGGGCGAGGCTGGTAGAGGGGACAGCCCCCGCCAGGAAGGGCCAGGCCTTCCTCCGGCTCAGTGAGGACCCGTCATCTGACTCTGCCAAGGAACTTGCTGTAGACGGAAGACGAGTTTAGGGAGAGGGTCCCACGGGAAGACCAGGGTCTTAGAAGGAGGAAAAGAGACAGGCTCCTGAGCTGACAGCCATCCACTGGGACCACCGGGCTTTCCAAAAGACGGGCCCAGACGCACTGGCTGAGGACGGGCTTCGTAGGAGACAGGTGCCTGCAACCCACCCCAGCACCTCACCGGGGACCCGGTGCAGGCAAAGAGCCCGAAGCAGAGAGCCTGGCCAGGGGAGGGCAACAGTCTGCCCGGGGCCAGGGGCATGAGAACACCGCGCCCGACCTGAGGCAGCTCCAGGTCAGTGCAGGGGGAACCTCAGAAGCCTGAGCAGTGGGACCTTTCTTTTTAGGAAATCAGAAACCAGGGTAGTCCTGTTCAGGACCAGAGCCAGAGAAAGACCCCAAAAGAGGACAGTATGGCCAACAACCCAGGTGACTTTAGGGAAGATTACAGGCTTAGAAAAGAGGAAGCAAGGGGCGCCTGGGTGGCTCAGTCGGTTAAGTGTCCGACTTCGGCTCAGGTCATGATCTCACAGTTTGTGGGTTTGAGCCCCACGTCAGGCTCTGTGCTGACAGCTCGGAGCCTGGAGCCTGCTTCGGAATCTGTGTCTCCTCCTCTCTCTGCCCCTCCCAGGTTCATGCTCTGTCTCTGTCTCTCAATAATAAATAAATGTTAAAAAAATTAGAAAAAAAGAAAAAAGAAAAGAGGAAGCACGCTCTGGAAAGCCAGGGACCACCCTTTATGCGGCACAGCAGAAACGCACGAGGCTGTCCCCCAACACATGAACTGAGGACACTGCCCGAGATCCAGCTCCTGAGCTCCAGGTCTCTGTGCTTTTAGAGGAGATGACAGAGATAGAGGCAAGAAGGACACTTCCTGTTGGCAGTGTATCCGGGCACAGCAGCATCCAGGTGGGGAAGGGGAAGGGAAAGGCAGGTGCCCTGGAGAAACGACCATGAGCTGGAGTCTCAGGTCCTCCTGGGGAGAAGGGAGGGCCCCGGGGCTGGAGGCAGAAGGCTCAGGATCCAGGGAGGTAAACTCACGGGGGCCCTTATGGCCCCCAATAGAACATTTCCATAGTTGGGGAGGCTGGGTCTCTGCCTCACACAGCGGCAGACTTCCCTATCACTGCAGGGTTCTCGTGGCCACCAGCGGGCGGGGACTTGGTGTGTTTGTGAGGCTACACACGACTGTTTGGACCCGCGCGTCCCAGGGCGAGGAAGGCACACACAGGGTTGGTTGCTGTCCCTCTGCCATTCCTACCCCGGCTTCACTGCATGCGCTTCCCCACCTTTCCCCGGGTCCCAAGCGGCTCATCTGCGCAGACCGCTTGCCCCACGGCCTGGCCAAGGGGTGCCCCCTTCCCCCAGGTCCGGGTAGCCCCGCTTCCTCCTCTTGTCCCCTCCGGCCTAGGTGGTGAGGACTGTTCCTCGGTGCCCCGCCCTCCTTCCACAGCCCTCTGCAAGCAGCGCCTTCATGAAACTCTTCAACTGCCCCATTCGTGGGTACCTCCTGCTCCCTGCCCGGACCCTGACCGAACATCCACAGGTTACGTTAGAAACACACGTGCACCATCACAGCTCCAGTCATTCCCAGACACACTGCCGTCCAGGAGCAGCTGGCGTCCCTCCCCCCACCACAGGGGTGACCCACCCTGGTCTCTGGCTCTGGCTGGGGTAGCATGTGCAGCAGAGGGAGCTGCGCCTCCGCCGGACATCCCATGGGAAGATGCTCAGCTCCAAGCGTGGACACAGACCCTGCACCTCTCACCCCGAGACCCGGCCTTCACTCCTGGCAGACTCACCCCCATCCACGTAGAGGGACCAGAAGATGACACGATAGCCTTTGAGGACGCCATTGAGAGTGCTGCGTGGGGGCTCCGACCAGGAGATGACCGCCACATCTGAGGTGATGGACAGGGCCCGGACGTTCTCGGGGGGCTGGCTGGGCACTGTACGGGGCGGGGAGAGAAACAAAGGGCCCCGTCAGGAGGTACAGCCCGACATCCGTGCCCCCTGCCAGAGGAACATGGAAGGAGCTCCTGACAACGAGTGAGGAGAGTCTGGGCTGTGTGGCCGGGAAGTGAAGCAAGTGTCCTCTTCTGGGTAAACAGAGGTCCTCACAGTCTCGGCGCCTTGGCCTCCCGGTGGCCCGTTCCCCGTTCCGGGTAAATGCCGGGGGCAGAAGGTGATGAACTCTGGGCATGAGCCCAAGGGGATTCACCAGTGGGCGCCAAAGCCCAGGGCGGATGCTACAGAGCCTGGAAGATCTCCACGCCAGCCCTGGGTCTTATCTGATGGCTGCCGGCCCTGCTGTGTCGTCTGACCAGGTGGTCTGAGCCCAGCCTGGTTCTCGGGCCCCTTGTGTCCTTAATGCCAAGCTGAAGGCAAGGAAAAGAAGGAAGCGGTCCCCTCACCCTGGTGAAGAGGAAAAGGGGAGCCATAGACACCTTTAGGACCTCTGTCCCTTGTCCCTGTAACATGAATATATCAAAATCTCCGGGATGACGGGAAAGCACTTTCTGAGGCCAATGTAGGCGGTCTAACCTGCCTCTAACCTTCCCCATTGGAAAGCCATCTTTGAGCCTAACCCAAGTCCTATCCCCCTCCCTCAGGGGTTTGCCCCGGTGCAGGCCACTTTCTCTGACATGGCAGACGGCAGGGATGCCAGGTTCTAGGAGCCACCTTGGCTGGGGAGAACTTTGGCGGCCCTTCCTGCTGGCTTCCGAATTGCGGGGGCCAAAGGGAAGGGCCATGTGTGCTTTGCTCTGAGAGGGAGGAAGGAGGCACAGGCTGGATGGAAGGTAATTAGATCCCATTGCCCCACAAGAGGCAACTCTAATTTTTATGAGCATTTAAATGATAATACATCATCGTAACGATCCTCTTTGAGAATGATTATTGTTTCATATTACTTAGGTGTAAAAATATAAGCACCATGTAATTAGGGACCCAGTGTAATAAACTAATACAGATCGCCCGTTCGAACAAAATGAAGGTAATATAATTATGGAAAAGACACTACTGCTAAAGCAGGGGCCCTTGAATACCCCAGGAGGAGTGCTAATATTGCCAGGAAACGATCGGGATCTGACAGGCTAACGAGGGCCTTAATTAAGTAGGAAAAAGTGCCGGGCAACTGCCGGTGGAAACTTTCTTCCCTCTCCTCCTTTGTTTTGAAAATGACTCTACAGCCCATGCTGGTCTCGCCCTCCTGGAAAATCTGCACCCCCCACCCCGACCCCAGAGCAGGGAGGCGGTGACCCGATGAAGGCCAGAGGCGGGCCTGGCCCTAGAGGACAGGAAGCTCAGTGCATGGCGGGGCATGTCCGTGTGGGCTCAGGGCAGCTGTTCCCCTGGACGCGCCTTCCCCGGGGCATCCTGCATCCACGTCACTTGGTCCCGTATCCCGCCTCGCTCCCAAGCGAGAGTATAACAACGGGGCGAAGATAGAGTACAGGATTCAGGGTCTGACCTGCATTTTGATCCGGGCTCCGTTCGTTACTACATAGGTGATTCTGGGCAGGCTACTTAGCTTGCGTGAACCTTGGCTCCTTGTGTGGGTAAGGCCCTAGAGGTCAGTGCTACGGTTCTCATAGGTGTTCCCGTGCCGGCAGCACCAGCATCATCTGGGAATGTATTCGAAATGCAAAACTGATTCAACCTGCTAAAGCAGAAGCTCTGAGGGGGAGGGCCCAGCAGCCTGCTTACAGCCCTCCAGCAGATTCTGATATACACTCAGGTTTGAGAACCACTGGGTTAGAGCACCACTTGGGACTAGTACTGCTCGTGTGAAGAGGTAGCTGGGTGGTCCTCCTCCACCCAGCCAGGTCTGTGGCCAGCATCACGGAGGGGAGGTGCTGGGGTGGGGGGGGGGAGGCATGGAGCCAGTGTGGAATGGGGGGGCTGGCTGCCTTGTGGTCCTCCCCACCACCACCCAGGCTTCTCTGTGCCTCTCTGCTTTCTATGTGCCTTTCCCTCTTTTTGCATTCTCCCCTTCCCCAGGGGCTCAGGGCTCCACCCCGAAGCCCAGATTGTGCCCCAAAGCCACCGAATGAGAATCCTGGAAGATGAAGCCTGGGCACCATTATTTTGAAAGCTCCCCAGATAATTCCAATCTGGAGCTAACGTTAAGGACCACTGGTGCGCGCTAATCCGCGTTCAGGTGTTTCCGACCTGACGCGTCCTCCCTCCCAAGGGTGTCTACGTTTTCAGAGAAGGTGAAGTAGGTAGAAGGCGTTGCCTAACCTAAAGGAATGACTTTCTAACAGTGGAATGTTGGGTACTCCGATGGCATTAAGCCCTCTGGACAGTTAGTCCCCTCGCTCTGCTGGGGCAGGGTCAGACTTAGCGCAGGTTTTGGTCTCAGACTCTGGTTTGGGGTTGAGGGACGTCAAGCCGGAAGCCGAGGAGAACACCCTGCTTCTTTGATCTGCCCTTCGGGAGGCTGCAGGCATCAAGGGCCATGTGTCCTCTTTCGACCTGGCACAGGCTCAGGTACCAGCGGGCCCTCCTCTGTGCTCAGAGAGCGGGCACGTTCCTGCTTTCTCCTAACCCTGTTCCCCTGAAAACCGGGCCCTGTATTTACTCAAGAGTCCTCTCTAGTCCTCATAGAATCGTGTTTTAAACAGTGGCCTCTAAATCGCCTGCCACATGGGTCTTGGACTCTCTTAACCCCAGTCTCATCTCAGGTCCCTGAAACAGGTAGTGGACAGGTTCTAGCCCAGAACTACAAAGGTAACTTGGTTTCTGCCCTTTGTCCAACCTGCAGGTTACAAGGGAAGAGAAACAGGAGCAGGATGTAGAGGAAAGGGCCCGGAGAGAGAGACAAGCGAGGGCCAGAATGAGGGAGAAACATGGATGGAGAGTCAGACGGGGGGCAGGTGCTAGGGAGGCAGAGTGTCGGCAAGCAGTGGATAGAGTGCTGGCCGCTGGATTGAGGGTCTGGGGGGCTCCGTGGACCAGCATCTCTAGAGGAGCCCGTGGGCGAGAGGAGACGGAGGGATCCCAGGGAGCCTGTGTGCCTCACAAGACCGTGATGGGGAACAGGAGCAGTGGAAGGGCCCTGAGTCCTCCCTGGCAGCCTGCCTCTGCACCCCTACTCTCTGCTGGTGCCCTCACCATCCTCCAGCGTGGTGGCATTGATCTCGCTGGACGAGGGCCCTGTGCCAGCCCGATTGAAGGCTTGGACCACCACCCCGTACTGGGCAAACTTCTTGAGGTTGTCCAGGGTGTAGACCTCGCTGTCCCCGGTGGCCTTCATCTCCACGATGCTATATTGCCCATTGCTGCCAGGGCTGTTCTCTCTGTAGCCGATCTGGTAGCCCCGTATGACGCCATTCTGCAGCTCCTTCTTGGGCGCCTGTGAGCACGGTAGGGGAGGGGAGACAAAAACACAATGGTGCTGTGAGATGCTGCTCTTAAAGCCAAAGTCAGATCATGTCACTCCTCTGTTCCCAACCCTTCAAAGGCTCCTGTCTCACTCGGAGTGAAAGCCAAAGTTCTTATAATGACTATATGACCCTATATGATCTGACCCCCATTACCTCTTGAGCCCATCTCCTCTTCCCCATGCTCCCTAGGCTCCAGCACTGGTCTCTTGCTGTTCACACTGGGCCCATGTCCGTTGAAGGGGAATGCTTTTGCCTTGGATACCCCCACAGCTTGCCTCTTCACCCCTGTGGCGTCCTTGCTGAAATACCCGTCTTAATGAGGTCTTCCTTACGATCTTTTTTTTTTAACTTTTTTTTTTTTTTTTTTTTGAGAGACAGAGAGAGAGCGTGAACAGTGGAGGGGCAGAGAGAGGGAGTCACAGATTCCAAAGCAGGCTCCAGGCTCTGAGCTGTCAGCACAGAGCCCGATGCGGCGCTCAGGCTCACGAACCACGAGATCATGACCTGAGCTGAAGTCAGATGCTTAACTGACTGAGCCACCCAGCTGTCCCTCCTCATGCTCTTTCTGTAAGATTGCTCCCTGCCCTCTGTTCAGTATTCCTTACATTTCTTCCTGGCCCCCATTACCTCTTGAACCCATCTTTTCTTCCCCATGTTTTATTTTTCTGCATTGCATTTACTCAGCATCATTGGATATTTTATTTATGTGTCCATCTGTTCCCATCAGAATGTAAACACCATGAGGATGAAAAGCATTGCCTGTTTTGTTTGCTCTTTGCTCTGCTTTCAGTGTCTACAACGATGGCTGATACGTAGCAAGACTTCAATACACGGTTATTGAATGAATGAATGAATGAATGCATGAACGAATGAATAGGAATATCATTTGGCATGGGCTCAGGGACCTGAAAGAAAGGGAACAGCAGACAAAAAGTAACCAGATGGAGAAGGAGGTGAGCAATTAGCTTGAATAAAAACAGAAGCCCGAGATACCACATCACACCCTGTAGGACAGCTCTCATCAAAAAATGGAAAACCACAAGTGTTGGTGACCATGTGGGGAAATCGGACCTCTCGTGTACTACTGGTGGAAATGCAAACTGGCGTAGCTGCAGGGGAACACAGTCTGCCAGTTCCTCAAAAAGCCCAACATAGAATTGCCATATGATCCAGAAGTTCTACTCCTTGGTATAGACCGCAAGGAATTGGAAGTGGAGACTCAGATACTTGACATCAATGTTTAGAGCAGCCCTATTCACCACAGCCAAAAGGTTGAAGCAAACCAAGTGTCCACTGACGAATGAATGGATCAACAAAAAGTGGCCTATGAGTGCAATGCAATATTATTCAGCCTGACAGTTAGCCTCTTATTTAGTCGGAATGAAGTCCTGACATGTGCTATCACGTGGATGAACCTTGAAAACATCATGCTAAGAGAAATGAGCCAGACACAATAGGACAGATATTGTGTTGATACAGCTTCCATGGGGTCACATGAATAGTCAAATTCACAGAGACAGAAAGCAGACTAGAAGTTACCAGGGGCTGGGGGCAGAGCTATCATTCAATAGGGGGCAGAGTTTCTATTTGGGATCATGAAGAAGTTTTGCAGATGGACGGTAGTGATGGTTGCACAATACTGTGAATGTACGTAATGCCACTGAACTGTGCACTTAGCCATGAATAAAATGGTGGATATGTTTTACCACATTTAAAACAAACAAAAAAAAGAGTCCTTGATTTTGGTGTGTGCCCAGCCCTTCTTGGAGCAGGGAGCTACACTGCCCTGGGCATCATGGTATGGGGCTGGGGTATGTGGGGACTGGGGCCTGAAGCCAGCCCCCAGATGCAGGGACAGAGGTAGATGAGGACACGCAGTAAGAAAGGGGCATTATGGAGCCCTGGGTTGGCTGGCGGGGATGAAGGACTGGCCCCAGTCAGCCAGGAGAACAGAGAAAACACCAGTGCCATGAGTCTGGGGCTAGAAAACATGCTTTCACTCCAAGCTTCAACCCTGATACACAACCAGATGCACACACGTGATCCTAATACCTCTCACATCAGGAACCACAAACACACACATCCGGACCCATCAAAGCAAACACCGTAATCCACCCACCTACCTACAGTCACATATACTTAGACTCACAGACAGAAACTGGCTCCTTTACCAAGCAGACTTGCCCATCTAGAAATTGAGAGACAGCACGCACCCCAGTGCATATAAAAACAACTTGAATCAGGGTTTTAAAGACAATGAAGTTAATTTAAAAGCCTACCTTTTATTATACAAAAAAATAGTGAGATCAAAAACAATTAAGTTAGTAAAACAGCCCCACTGTTTTTTTTTAATTCAATGAATGTTTTAAATGAACTGCATTTTCAGCTCGCTGTTAACTCAATAAAATGAAGTTTTTAATTTAACGTAATTGTTTTGAACTCACTAAATAGGTGTGTGTGTTTTGTTTTTTTTTTTTTTAATTTTTTTTTTCAACGTTTATTTATTTTTGGGACAGAGAGAGACAGAGCATGAACGGGGGAGGGGCAGAGAGAGAGGGAGACACAGAATCGGAAACAGGCTCCAGGCTCTGAGCCATCAGCCCAGAGCCCGACGCGGGGCTCGAACTCCCAGACCGCGAGATCGTGACCTGGCTGAAGTCGGACGCTTAACCGACTGCGCCACCCAGGCGCCCCTAGGTGTGTGTGTTTTTAATTGACTTGACTTTTTGTTAATGCCTGAATAATGTTTCTCTGCACTTGGGCAGTCCTGTTTGCTAGTTTGTAAGTGAGCAAATTTCTGAATTCTCATATCTGCCCATGTAAATCTACATACACACCCACACACACAGAGACATCTATTATAGACACAAACATACCTTCAAGAGTGACACCCCGTCTTCATAATGACACATACTCTTATATTACATGCACACACCCATATTGCCACGCTCAGAGAGTAACACACGTGTCCACATGACCACAGCCATCTATGCCATGATATATACCAACATATTCACATCAACATATACTGGCAGAGGCCTTGGATGGGCATCCAGGCACACCCCGCTATATACATATATATATTCACATATTTATACAAATCTTGACAGATCTTCCTTCCCTCCCTCCTCTTTCTTTCCTCCTCTCCCTCTCTCTCTCCCTCTCTCTCTCTCTCTCTCTCTTCTCCCTTCCACTGCTCCCCTCACCCCCAACAGGCACACTCAGGATTTAAATCAATCTTAACAATATTTCTCTGAAGCATTAAGAAATCAATAGGGCCGATTGCAAATTTATGTCATAAAGCAGTGGCGATCCATCTCGCGGAAAGGGTCTTAAAATGAAGTGACTTATCTTTCAAGTGAATCTTTATTTTTCATTAATCTGTTTCTTGGTGTTAAAAAAAAAAATCCCCTGAGAAGTCAGGCCAAAATTTATTGATGGGTTGGTTCATTCTGAAGTTCTAACTTTCTAATCAATTTTATTTTTCATTATGAGACTTTGGAGACATAAATCTGATTCTAAATTTTTATCGACCTCCGGGTCAGAGCTTTGTAGCCAAACGGCTCAGTGTTTTACATACGTATTCATTCCCTGCCCCCACCTCCTGGCTTCCTGACAGCATTCCTAGGAAATGGGTCCAGAACCAGGATGCAGACAGACTTGGGGTTGGACTCTAGGCTTCACCCCCTTCCCCCAAGTTTTTGAGGAAAGGCTTGGTGCCCAGATCTGGATGTGAAGTGGAACCATGGCTCTGGGCATGGTTCCCAGGAAGGCCCAACTGTGTAGTCCCTACCTCACTTGCATTCTGGTCATTTCTCTGGGGAAAGAAGGAACGAGGCTCTGCTCTGTGTCTGTGTGGGTGTGGGGGGCGAGGGGGGGGGTGGGGAGACACACACAAGAGTGTAGTGTTTTTAAGGAAAATATCACTAAGCCCTTCTGCATCTCTCCAGTTCTCAAGTCTACCTTGCTGAAGGGCCTGGGGGAGAACTAAAGTGCCTGAGCTTCAGTTAGAGCCAGAAAATGACTGTGGAGGTCGGATCCCAGGAGCAGAGGAGGCATTCCCCCCAAGCCCCACTGTTGGGATGGGAAAGCTCCAAGAAGAAGAACACATACAGGCCCTACGAAAGCTCTCTGTTCCCAAACTCCGTGCCGTGGCCTCCTCTGATGGGTCGGGATAAAAGTACCTCTTCTGGCTACCCTCCAGGAACAGAGGGTCAGATAAGCCAGTGTGAGAAAATACTTGAAGCCTCGAAGAGGCAGTGCAACAGGCGGCCCTGAGGGTCCACGGCAGCAATGTGGTGGTGAGTTCGCCAGAGTTACCCAGGACGGTGTTTCCCTCCTGCTCCAGGTTATTCTGATCTGTTTCTCTGCCCAGCTGTGGGGTCTCCTCTAAGAGTTTTCTCATGTGACAGGGTCTTCAGGACATCCTGTAGAGTTTAAGGTCTCTGCCCCTCATCCAGCCCCAGAGGTAGGGAGGACAGTTATTTTCAGTGATTTCATAGAGGAGGAAACTGAGGCCTGAAAACACCAAGACTCCTGTGGAAGGCCTCACCAGGAGAAGATAGGGGATTACATTGCTATACCTCCCAGCTCCAGTCAGAGGGCCAAGATGAGGGCAAGACCCTGTTCTGTCATCTCTCATCATCCACAGGGCTCCCTTGAACTTTGTACAAAGTCAAACCCAACTCCTGACGTATTACAGCATGTGGGGCTTAGAAGAGAGGCCGATGTGGTGGAAAACCCATCTTCCCTGCTTAGCATTGCCAAATTCTTCATCCCACCTCAGGTACAGGCCTGCCTCAGAGTGCCAAGGCGGAGAGGGGGTGGGGAGTGGTGGGGGGACCCATCCCTTTATCCTCCCATCTTTCCTCCCCTCCAGCCTCACTGTGGTTAGCAAAGCAAAACAAAACAAAACAAAACAAAACAAAACAAAACAAAACAACAAAAACAAAAACAAAGACAAAAACAAAAACAAAGACAAAAACAAAAACAAAAACTGGGCATGAGAATTATAAGAGATCAGAGATCAGCAAGCTTGTTGGGGCTTCATTCCTGGGTTGAGAAGGGAGGAGGCATGGAGGCATTCAGTGGGAAATTTGACCTCACTTACCTTCCAGGTCACTTGGATACTCTGTGAGGTCACTGGCTGCAAGGTGACATCCATGGGGGGCCCATCAGGAGCTGGTGGAGGGGGAAACAACATTACAAGTTAAGTCAGGGAAGAAAAGAGTCTTATGTGCTCACTTTCATCCTCTTCAGCTGGAGGATTGCTGGGAACAAAGGAAAAGCTCATACATGAAAGCAGAGAACCCCCCATAAAACAGTCATAGGGCTTACCTTTCCTCTCCATTCTCCATCATCATTTGCTGAAAATGCAGTGAGCAATGACAACAAGATATTACTCTACATTTAGCACACTGGGAACAATTTTTAAAAGTTTGATAGTATCAAGTGTAGGTAGGGGTGTGTAGTAGTGGGAATTCTTTTTTTTAAAGGTTTATTTATATTTGAAAGAGAGAGAGAGAGAGACAGAGAAAGAGAGAGAGGGAGAGAAAGAATGAGTGGGGGAGGGGCAGAGACAGATGGAGACACAGAATCCGAAGCAGGCTCCAGGCTCTGAGCTGTCAGCACAGAGCCAGACATGGGGCTCAAACTCACAAGCTGTGAGGTCATGACCTGAGCTGAAGTCAGATGCTTAACTGACTGAGCCACCCAGGTGTCCCAGGAATTCTTATATCTACTGGCCATGGGAAAGGAAACTGGCCCAATACTTTGGAAGACATCTTGGCATTTCCGGTTAAAGGTAGGAGTGTCCTCATCTGATGCCTTTGTAATTCTGCAACTACTTCTATCCCATAGAGAAACTCACAGACCTCTGTAAGCATACAAGTATGAAAATGTTCACAGGTCCAAGCTGCAAGCCACCTAAATGTCCCTCTTCATTAAAATGGACAAAGAGGCTGTGGTATAATCATGGCAGAGAGTACTACAGAGCACTGAAAATGCACAAATGATGAAACTCACAAAAATACTAACAATCAAAGCAAGGAAGACACAGAATATATCAAGAATAACTTAATGAATACATTCCCTGGGAAAGTGGGCAAAACCAAACAGCATGCTTCTGCATACATACACTGTAGTGACAGTATAAAAGAGAAAAGCAAGAATGACTACCGGTTACCTCAAAGGGAGGCATGGGGTTATGGTTGGGAAGGGGCAGAGGGAGGACCCCTGGCATGCTGGTAATTGATAGTGAGTGTTGCTTATCCTATTTTTTGCTTTATTATTATTATTTTTTATTTTTTTTTAACATTTATTTATTGTTGAGAGACAGAGAGAGACAGAGTGTGAGCAGGGAAGGGGCAGAGAAAGAGGGAGACACAGAATCTGAAGCAAGTTCCAGGCTCTGGGCCTGATGTGGGGCTCGAACTCACGAACTGAGAGATCATGACCGGAGCTGAAGTCAGATGCTTAACCGACTGAGCCACCCAGGTGCCCCGGTTTATTATTATTTGTAAAGCTGCACATATATGTGACATGTACTTTTGGTATTGTTTTCTATTTTGCAATAGCAGGAGAACATATAGGGAGAGAAAGCTTGTTTAAGTTTTCAGAAAAACTCCAAAACAAAGGTCACAGAAAATAATACAGGGCACTAGTGCTCCACCCTTTCCAGACAGGCTGGGGCCAGAGGAGTGGGTAAGAACCATGGACAGCTCCCCAAAGCCCAGTGTCTAGAACTCCATCTGGAAAAGGTCAAACCTAAGAGCCTCCAATGATCCAAAGGCAGACACAAACAAATACCTTGGGATCTCTCCTTCCCTGTTCTAATTGTAAGCCCACTGTCAGTGGACAGGGTGGGTGTGGACCTCAGATGGCCCTGATCCCCAAGGTCACGGGAAAGAGCCACAAGGCCAGAGTGCTCACCGGCCTCCTCGGTGCTAATGGTGAGCTCTTTGCTCGGCTCGCTGCGGCCAATCTTGTTGAAGGAGTACATGCGGATGCTGTACACAGAGGCTGGGTGCAAGTCCACGATGTTGGCCTGGTTGATGGTGGGGGAGATGTTGCGTGTGGACTGCTTGAAGTCCCAGGAATCTGGAGAGAGAGCACCCATTTCAAACCACAGCCGGGAAAACCTCACAGCCCTTCCCCAGCCTCAAGCACGAGCACATCCCAATCTCCACTGTGATGCCCAGAGGAGGGCCAGCTCACACAGACTACAGCCAGAGGGCACAGGCCTTAACCACCTCACAGAGAGTACAAGGATTCTGTTCCATGAAACTCAAGGAGACCAAGGGATGCCGGAGAACCTGAGCCAGCTTGTGAGTTTAAGCCTCAGAGAGGGGTCAAACAATATGCTCCTCAAGGTCCCTTTCAAGATCCCCATTTGCTCGCTATCCTTAAGGGTGTGATTAGCCAGTGCCCTCCTTCCCGGTCTCCCACACCACATCAGTGACCAGTTGTAACCGTGAGATACCTATCAACCCAGGGCCACGGGTGAAGCCAAGTCTCCCCCTTTTTCCTTCTGTGTATGCCTCTGTATTTCGTTTCTTTGTGCACTTGTGTGGTGGTGGTCTTGAGTGCCACTTGGTCTTTGGGGGGACAGACTGAGTGCCAGAGTCCCCAGCCCAAACCTTACCCTCTTGCTCACTAGCAGGAGAATGCTCTCTGAGTCTTTAAGGTCAGGAGCCAACAAAGAGATTAACATGTTCCCGATTCATCCAAGGGGACTGGCAGGCCATTCCAGGGCTGTTTAGCAAGTGAAAAATGCCACACAGGAATACTGTGACAGTAAACATTCTGCATGTCCAGAGGAACCCAGTCATTCATTCGATATATTTTTGCTGTGCCTCTACTGGGGGATTCCCAAGAAAAATGGGAAGGGGTTGCAGTTACAGCAAAGCCTCAGCTAGGATCTTCCAAACCCAGAATTCATAACTAGATTACTTTATTGGCCCTTCACTTTAAAAAGAAAAAAAGGCAGAGCACAAGGAAACAAGCTGATAGTAAGGCTTAAAAATCTTCCCGGGGCATGTCCTGATGTCACTATTCAGTCTAATTTTCTACGCCTTTTAAATCCACAGTAGAGGATCCTGAAAATTCTCAGTAGAAAAGATTAAATTGCATTCACTGCTGTTTAATCCCTAGAACAGGAGAGGAGGCAAGCATATTCTAGAAAGACTGTTAGGAAGATTCCCGCCCCCCCCCCCGCCCCTTTAAAAAAGGGCTTATACCTGATAAATCAGTTCACCAGAAGAGACTAACCCATGCCCTCAGATTCTGGTTAATTGAGGTCTTGATGGTTTTCAAAACACCACTTCTAGCTTCAGAGGCTCGGCATCTGTGGAGGGCACCGGCCCAGCTCCCCATCTGCAGCTTTGCATTTAATTCTTTGGTTTCATGAGCCAAAGTCACAAATGGCAGGCTGTGGATGCTCAGAAGCACATTATTTTCTCCTTGTCTTTTAAAAACACCCCAACCACCCAGAGAGTCACTCTGTGGCTGGCAGGTTAAGCCAGGGTTGCAAATACGATGGCTCCTACCTGCTGCGGACACCTCTTTGGTTTGGGAGGGAATGGGCTACACCTCTCTCTGTGGCATCCTGGGAGCTGATGCCAGCTCACACCTCGTACTCAATTTGCCCGTGTTTATGGGAGAGGGACATTAACCACGAGTCAGTGAGGGAGGAGGCCCACATGATGTGTCTGAACACAGAGAGACTAAGGAAAAAAATATATATATTTGCATATACATATTATTAGACGAGACTTGCTCTCTATATTGGTAAGAAACATTAACACGGGAGGTACTGTGGATGGAAATATACATAAAACCGACATTTTCTTCACAATAGATTCAGGTTATTGGTTCCTCATTTTTACCAATATCACAGCAGCGATAACGTGTCCCTCTGTGTGTGAGTCACCTGCTATCGATTTGTCCCAGGACAGTGGATGTTAACATTGCTCACTTAGCTTAGGTGGCCCTCCGTCAGATTCCTCTACTTATTATCTAAAGTTAATACGTCCCCCTCTATCATTAGTAAAGGCGTCGGAGGGATTTACTGAGAGAGGTATATAAACCATCACATTGTCTTCTTAGTTTCTCTTTGCTTGTAGTTTGCTTTGGAAAATGAAGGCTGTCACTTTTGTTTCCTTGGAGATACTAGCCTTTGCAAACCGGGGTTTTAATCCATCAGGCCTCGGTCCTCTGTTTCCATTATAGTTCACACATTCATGTCACAGACATTCTCTTCTTTATTACTTCTTTGTATTTTCAAAAAAAAGTCTACAAGAATCATATTATTAACGCATGTCAAGTGTGTTAAGTTTCTAGAATATAGCTCAGCGCAAATGATACAAATTTTCAAAGAAATAGGAGACTTGGAAACGATTGCTCTAACTCATTTTATCTCAGTGTGTGTGTTCATCTCCCTAGTGTGTTTACAAAATACAAAGAGCAGCATCCAAATATAGATTTACAAGATTTACACAATTGAAAATAATCTTGGTTTCGCTGACATGAAAATTTGGTCTCTATCACTTCTCGTGTATGCATACTTCCTATTTTTATGTATGTTTATGTGCATAAAATGTTAACATTATTTGATTCATTCTTTCTTGTTACCTTCTTAACGTGTTTCTATTATTCTTCTCAGTCACAGAAACTGCTATAAACATTCATTAGGGCTGTCTCTGCGTATTGTTCTGTGTTCTTTTCAGATAAATTCTAGTTAAGATAAATTGGAGTAAAACCCGAGCTTTACCATTTACTGGATGTTTGACAAAATATTCTCATAAAAGAGGAAGAATAATATTATTATTCTCAGATTATTTATGTGGTCCATGCATTCATATATAAAAAACTGTTAGAAAGATACGCGGTACATAGTAAATTTTCGAAAGGGTTTGTTGTTGCTATGCTCACGATCCTATTAGGCCTGTAAATTCCATACAACCCTTTCATTGGACCACAGACATTGGTGTCCACTAGTTAAAAATGAGCTTGTTAAAAATGTGGAAACCCAGGTCCTGCCCCAGAAGTGAACTAGAGAGAGTCTGCATTTTTACAAGGGCTCCATTTTGTTTCTGCACACATTAAAATTTGAGAAGCACACTTCTGACTCACCATAACTTTTCCATTTGAGACGTATACACAATTTATCCTGTATGCCATAAATACCGCACTCAAAAATGTGTATGCCTGTGTTGATGCCTTAATTTTATAATTTATCATCCAGAAAAATAGAGGCTCCACAGTGGTTTTCATGGAGCAAATGGTATCTTCTTTCCCCAGAGCTGGAGAACGTTACCGTGCAAAAAATGATCTTACTGGATAATGCAGGACACTCTCCTAAGTCACCACCAGTTCTCTTAGCTCTCTGGTCTCATCTTGGGTCAGATTATGAACTCTGCCCATGGCCACGTAGTAGATTGTTTTGTGTTTCAAGGACGGCTGACATTCAGGGGTGTAGACATAGAACCGTCTCATGCAGAGCAGGAATTGTACAGGGATGTGATGCTGCTGAACTGCAGGAACCTGGCCTCTGTAGGCGAGGAAGACTTCCCCCCAGAAACTTCTAGTCTATCCTCCAGCTCTTGGCTCCGCTGTTTGTAGAATCTCTCTTGGAGCTTCCAGTTCCTGTGACAGAGTTTCAGATCCCTGCTTTCAAGGATGGAATTAGGGGTTTTTTTGGTGAAGAATGACTTCATGGTGTTTCATCATGCCTTTAAACTTCATCTTTCCTGAGGTAACCTACACCCTTTACTTGAGATTAGTGGTAATTCTATACATTCAGTGGCATAAACTATTGTGGCCCCCATCTTAATATCCAATTTCCACCCCTTAGATTTGACCCAGAAATACTTAGAAGTGGAACTTAGGATCTAAAGTTTTTACTATACTAGCAACAGTAAAGGTGCTGTCAGAAAACAGTATTTTGGGACATCACGTTCTAGAATATTCTAACATCCTACAATGTCCTCTCTTCTCACCCAGGCACAACACTGGATTGGAAACTGGAGAATCTCCAGCAAAACCCATGTCCCTTTTTCTAATAAACAGGCTTACTGTCTCTAACCTCAACCTGGTCACCTTTTTGGAGCAAAAGAAGGAGCCGTGGGATGTGAGGAGGAAGGAGACAAAAGCCAACACAGCCGGGTGGGCGAGAGTGATTGAAGCGAAGGACACAGGTGAGAGGTCAGAGGTCACAGAGGAAGCCAGACCTTAACATATGGTTTGGGAAGATTTGTTTCAATGGAAATGATTTTTGAGACACCTAAGTTTTCTGCTGCTGTCACAGAGGGAGACTCCTCCCCAACCCTCCAGGCATCTTCTGCTCCAGTGGACTTCTGTCACGTTCACATTGAGGCCCAAAGTTGTCCCCTGGAACTGTGAGGCTGCTTTTCCATCACTTTTAGGGGCCTGGGAAAATCTGGGCACACTTCTGAGGAATTCTACGTTAAGGCATTTTTAAAGTTCTGCTTCTGCCTCGTGTAAGAAATTTGCAAGGGAAACGGTCGAGCTAGCGGGGATTTGGTTCAGAAATCCCAGAAACACGGGAGACAGGTATCACACGTGCTCTGCTGAGTCATTTCCAATCCTGTGGAGGCTTCACACACGACCCTCCAAGGTTCAGACAGTAATTTCCTTGTGGCACAACGCACCTCCTTAAAATGAGCAAACCGAATCTCCCATTCCACTTTGAAATTTCCATGTTCTTTGTAAGAACTAACTTTAGAAATTTCAAGTCTATGTGCCCCAGGTCCTCAACAGTACAAGAGTTTCATGCATCCATTTACCTCACAGAATTCTTTCTTTTATTGAAGTATAATTGACATATAACATTATATTAGTTTCAGGTGTACAACATAATGATTCAGTACTTACATACATTGTGAAGTGGTCACTACCTTAAGTCTAGTCACTATCTGTCACCGTACAAAGTTACAAAGTTTTCTTCTTATGATGAGAATCCTCATCATTTAGTCTCTTAGCAACTTTTTAAAAATAAGTTTATTTATGTATTTTGAGAGAGAAAGTGCAAGGAGAAGGGCAGAGAGAGAGAGAGAGAGAGGAGTGAGGGAATCCCAAGT